TGGTCGAACGGTAGGGTTATATTCAGGTTCTGAGGATCTCCAGACTGATTTCCATAGTGGCTTGACCAGTTTGCATTCCCACCAACAGTGGGTTAGTGTCCCTTTTTCCCCACATCCTCGCCAGCATCTGTTGTTGGTAGATTTCTGTATGTGAGCCATTCTAACCGGGGTGAGGTGAAACCTCATTGTGCTTTTGATTTGCATTTCCCTGATAGTGCTTGGCCTACCATTTAATATGCCCACAGTCAGAGTACTTGGGTTCTATGCCTGGCTCCTGTTTCTGCTCATTTCTTGTTGACCCAAGACCTAGGAAGCAAAAGACGGCTATCCACAGGTCAAGGAGAGAGGCCTCAGAAATGAAAACCAATCTGACACCTTGATCTTGGACTCCTTGGTTTCAAAACTATGAGAAAATAATTTGCTGTTGCTTATAGTCTGTGGTATCACTGAATTAGACAACCAATTCAATGAGGTATCTCAGATGCTTGAAAATATGCAGAGTTCTAAGCTTCCCTCAGATTTACCGATTTAGAATTTCTGGGAGTTGGTCCAGATCTGCCATTTTGACACACACTATTGGTATCTGCTTTACTCAATAAAGTTTGAGAATCATTTTAAGGTCTAATCTGATATTAAGTAAATTGTTAGGAAGGTAAGGCTTTCCTTCAAATGTAGAGGCAGTGTCAATTAATGAGGACTCTTAGGATATGAAGGGAGATAGAACATAAAGTCTGAGCATTAATAAGTATGTATTGGAACTTAAACATATATAAATCATTGTGTTGATGTGAAAATTTAAAAATCACATATCTACATACAGATTATTTTCAGATTCCTACAACTGAGTTAGTCCAAATATATACAAGAGACAATGGACTAAAGAGCTGTAATTTATTACCATTTCAAAAGTTTAAAGAAAAAAAGTAATGTAAGTACCTTAAAGAAACAAACTTGTGAAACTGGTGAGACAAAATGGTTGACTTTAATAAAGTAAAAGGAATGGACAAGAGAAACAGATATCAAAGTATTGGCCTGATCAAGACAGAGAGTCTAACAGTAGACCGCCGACACATCTAGCAGGGTGAAACAACAGAAACAGAATCACAGACGTTTCAGAAACTGAAACTGGCAGACAAAGATTATAAATGGCTCTGAGAGCTTAAAAAATAGATACAACAGAAAATATCTACAGGAAATAAAAAACCATAGAATATAATCTTTTAAAAAAAGAACCAGGTAGAACACCTAGAATTGAAAAATACAAAATTCATAATGAATGGATGTAACATAAATAGATAACAAATAGATGAAGAGGCCAGTAAACAGGAATATGGGTTAGAAAATATTATAGAGAATAAAGCATGACAAAACAATTGGAAAATACAGGGGGAACAGGTCATGAACAGGACAATAGGTCTGCCATGCTTAGTGATAATCAGTATAGAAGGAAAGAGAACCGGAAATAAGCTCTCTGGCATATCTCAATAAATCACAAGTAGGATTAAAAAAAGATTTCTCTGAAGATGCAATATTTATCCCATTAATTGACTCAGGAGCAACTGGGGGAAGTTGTAAGAGTAGAAAAATATTTAAAAAATATTGAAAGATAATAAAGGACAAATTAGAATTCTACAGTTTGCAAAAATATCTTTACAGATTGAGGGCAGAATAGTTGTTTAGAAAAAACTCATGAGTAGCTATGCCACCAGAAGACCCTTATAGATTTAATTTTTTTTAAGATTATTTATTTGAAAGGAAAAGTTAGAGAGAGAAAGAGAGTAAGAGAATCTTCCCTCTGCTGGTTCACTCCCGAAATGGCCACAACAGCTGGAGCTGGGCTTACCTAAAGCCAGAAACCAGGAGCTCCTTCCAGGTCTCCCACATGGGTGCAGGGGCCCAAGTGACTTAGACCATCTTTCACTGCCTTTTCAGGTGCATTGGTAGGGAGCTGGATCAGAAATAGAGCAGCCGGTACTAGAACTTGTGCCCTTGGTGCTGCAAGCAGAGGCTTTATCTGGTATGCCACAGTGCTGGTCCCTATGATTTAAATTCTGAAGCAAGTGTTTCAGACAGAACTTTATGTTAAATGTCTCAGTCTGTTTAGGTTCCTAAACAAGATATTGTAAGCCAGGTGGCTTTTCAATAACAGAATATCTTTTACAGTTCCAAAGGTTAAGTCTAAGATCAAAGCAAATTTAGTTTCCAGTGAGAACTAGCTTTCAGATTCAGCTGTGTCCTCACACAGTAGAGATAAATGATTTCTCTCAGGTCACTTTTATTGTAATTAATCCTGTGACCAAAGAACCACCTTTTAAAATACCATCACCTTGGGGGTGAGGATTTCAGTAATACTTAGATATAAAAAAGAATAAAAGTGCAAATAAAGTGGCATATGTGTGTATATATACTTACTATATAAACAAAAATGAAGTCTTGTAGAATTTAAAGATTGACGTACATGACAGAAAAATTAAAATATATAATAGACAAAATATAAGACAATAATATGTAAGTTGGGAATCAGAGTTGTTTTATAACTACCTAATGAGTAACTCCAAAACTTAGTTGCATAAACAGTCCACGTTCAGCTATTCAATAGAGCAAGACACATTATCAGTGGTTCATCTCTCTGTTCCATGAAGTCTAAGGCCTGGAACATTCTGAAAACTTGCTTATTCATATGTCTGACACCTGATGCTAGCAGCCTGTGGGCTGGTTTGGGCTTCCTCATAACATTGTGTCAAGGGTGAGCTTTCTGCAGGGTTGGGGAGAGAAGAAAGCAAAGAGATAGAAAGAGCAAGACCAAGCAAGAGAGAGTGAGAGCCAAGAAGAAACCATACAGCCTTTTATGACCTAACCTCAAAGGTCTTGAGGGGTGGTGGTGGGGGAGGATTTGGTAGCAAGTTTCTATAAGAGCATGTGGGATTAAAAATATTGCTGTGGCCATTTTTTGAAATTACAATGTACTAAGATAAAGGTAACAGTCTTACTTAATCTGAATATGTGTGATAGAATAGAGAAAACATTAAAAAGACTAGTAAAGAAAAAAATGTGTATAGTTCAGGAAATCAGAAACTGTATCACCTATTTTTTTTTTTTTTTTGACAGGCAGAGTGGACAGTGAGAGAGAGAGACAGAGAGAAAGGTCTTCCTTTGCCGTTGGTTCACCCCACAGTGGCCGCTGTGGCCAGCGCGCTGCGGCCGGCGCACCGCGCTGATCCGATGGCAGGAGCCAGGAGCCAGGTGCTTTTCCTGGTCTCCCATGGGGTGCAGGGCCCAAGCACTTGGGCCATCCTCCACTGGACTCCCTGGCCACAGCAGAGGGCTGGCCTGGAAGAGGGGCAACCGGGACAGAATCCGGCGCCCCGACCAGGACTAGAACCCGGTGTGCCGGCGCCGCTAGGCGGAGGATTAGCCTAGTGAGCCGTGGCGCCGGCCCTATTTTAAGAAAGAATTAACATAAGAAATGGGTAAACAGATTTGGAAAATTGAAAATATCCACAAGGAACATAACCAGTAAAGAGAAGATGATGGAATTATTAGAAGCTAGAAGCCAGATTTTGGAGAGTGTCAGAGAAAAGCTAGGGCCTGAGAGAGAACCTCCGTTGTGAGCTGAGGAGTTGCCGGGAGATACTGAAAATACTGGAAGGCATATGGGAAGGAAAAAGTGTCTTCTCCTTACCTCCAATATTCCAGTCTCCTAGTGCCCCATGTTTGTGGAACTGAAAAGGACACTGGATGGCAAAGAAGAAATGTAGTTTGTAAAGTTCCAGCCACAGAGTTCCAGAACACAAAAGAGTGAATATGGAGTTGAAAGACAGTAAGTTAACAACTGGCACAAAGGAAATAACAAGATAAGTAAATGTAAGTTTAAAAAGGGGAGAAAACAGAAAAAGAATCACAGGATGGGCTAGAGAAAAAAATCCCACTCAATCTTCCATAACAAAATGCTAGAGGTCAACCTAAATCTAAATATATTAGTGATTAAATGAAATGTAAATGGCCTAAATATTCTAGTGAAAACAATGAAAAAATGATCAATTTGATACAAAAACTCACCAAAATCAAAACTCTATGCTTGCATAGTTTTTTTTTTTTTTTTTTTAAAGATTTATTTATTTGAAAGGCAGAGTTACAGAGGCAGAGGCAGAGAGTGAGAGAGAAAAATCTTCCATCTGCTGGTTCACTCCCCAAAATGGCCACAATGGCCATAGCTTGGCTGATCTGAGGCCAGGAGCAAGGAGCTTCCTCTGGTTCTCCCGCATGGGTGCAGGGGCCCAAGGACTACGGGCCATCTTCTACTACTTTCCCAGATCATATCAGAGAGCTGGATCGGAAGTGGAGCAGCTGGGACTCCAAGCAGCACCCACATGGGATGCTGGCTCTGCAGGCAGCAGCTTTGCCCGCTATGCCACAGTGCTGGCCCTTGCATTAGTTTTTCTTTACTACAAATAAATACTTGAGAGCTAACTTACAAAGAGAAGGAGTTTATTTCACTGACAGTTTTTAGGCTCAAAGTCCAAAAGGCATGGCACAGGTTTTGGTTCTTGCAGGAAGCCCATGGTGGATGTCGGAGCACGTTCAGAAGAAGGACCCCGTGGCAAGCCAGAAAGCAGTGATAGGAAGTGGATGGGCTTCAATTCAGGATTTCCAACTCAGAAGGTCACACAAGTACTACCTTCTTAGGAAATAATCCCAAAGACCTCAGGAACTATGTCCTGAAGATTCCACCTCCAAGTAGTGCCACTCTGAGGACCAAGCCTAACACATGGGCATTTAGGAATATTCAACATCCAAACCACAGCAATACTGTTTACCTGACAATCATCTACAGATAGAATATAGGAAGACTCAAAGTAAATGGGTGGAAAACTTATTTCATGAAAATATAGACCAAAATAAAGTCATTATTAGTTACACAGAAAACAAACTTTAAAAAGGCAAAACATAACACAGAGATACATTTCACAGGGATAACATACAATTTGCTAGGAAAATTTACATGCACTTAATAATTTAATCTCAAAATATATAAAACAGAAACAAATACAAGGAGAAAGAAGCAAATCAAAATCACAGTGGATGATTTTTAACACACCTCTTTCAGTAATTGACAGAACAGGTGTATTAAAAATCAGTAAGGATACAAAAGCTTGAAATAACAATTAACAAACTTGATTTTAACAGACATATATAGTTTACAAGGACTATAGAATACAATGTTTTCAAATACACAGAAATTACATTCTGGGCCATAAAGTGAGTTGCAAGTAATTTCAAAGGATTAAAATCAAAGATTTTTTTACCCTAAAATTCACTTAAACTGCCAGTCAAAATAAAAAAAAATTATAAAGGCCCCATGTTTGGAAACTAAGAAATTCTCTCCTAAAAACACTCAAGGGTTGAAAAGGAAATCCTAATGAAAATCAGCAAATATTTAAACTGGATATCAACAATATTATATATCAAAACCTATAGACTATGGCTACAATAATTACAGTAAAATTTGACATTATATTGCAATAGCATAGAGATGACTTTTATAAACCTATGTCGGATGAGAAGATAAGCTGAAAATAAATGGATAATAGACCTCAAGAATAGAAAGTTACAAATAGAACAGTAAAAACAAAATCCAATACAGAAAAATATAGCAAGAGCAGAAATTAATGGGACAGGAAACAAACATATGCAGAAAGGACCAACAAAATAAAAACTGGGCGAGATGGGCATTTGATACCATGGTTAAAATGCCATGATGGATGCCTGCATCCTACACTGAAGTGCCTGGGTTTCAGTCCCAGCTCGGCTTCTGATTCCAGTTTCCAGCCAATGCATACCCTGAGAGGTTCCACATTTGTGGAAGACCTGGACAGAGTTCCCAGTTCCATTTTGGCCTGGCCCAGCCCTTTCTGTTTAGGACACTTGGGTAGTGAGCCAGCAGAGGAAAGATCTTTGTCTTCCTGCCTTTCAAATAAAATGAAAATAAATATTTTAAAAAGTTTGATAAAAAAATAAAAATTTGGATCTTAGAAAAGAATAAACTCTCCTCTGAAGTTGGTTATATAGAAAATCCAAAAAAAGTACAAATAATTTACAAGGATCATTAGATGGTTCAGTAAATTTCCACATAGAAAAGCAATACAAAGAAATCAACTATACTTACACATAATCAATAGGTAGCTAGGAAATAAGGTGGATAAAGTAATTTGGATTAACATTCTCACTTGAGAATATTTAGAAAGGCTGGATAAAACATAGTTTTGAAAATGTATGAAAGTATCAGTGATTAAGTTGGTGGATAGCCAACAGGCTAGCATCTAGAAGACAGAAATTCAGAAAAGTGAACCCTTCGATTGGGACCACTATATCCTAAAACATTTACAGACTGCAGAAGGCCACTGAGGAGCTGAAGAGAATTTATGGCTAGGGATTCAAAAGTTGCGTCTAGGGCCAATCAAGAGGTGGGGGCCTTGGTAAACCTAACTTTTGAATCTTGAAGGGCTGAACCCTGTGAGTAAGTGTGAATAGTTAAGAAGAGTACAAGCACGGTATAGAGTGTAAGTTTGAGTCACATAATGGCCCAGGAAAAACCGTCTCTAAACTTGCACAAAAAAATTTCCTAAATTTGCCTTAGCAGTTAAAATGCCCAGCTCTGCTCCTCACTCTAGATTCCTGCTAACGTAGATAGATGCTGGGGGGCAGCAGTTATGGCGGAAGTGATTGGGTTCCTGGCACCTACCTGTGAGACCGAGATTTAGTTCCTGGCTCTCAGCTGTGGTTTGTTAGTCACTGCAGGCAGTGAGGGAGTAAACTAGTGAATTGGAGCTTCTCTCTCCAGGTATATGTGTCCCTCAAAAACAAACGAAAAAACCCAGCAATGATCCTAAATCACTAGTGCCCAGGTACTTTTCAGAAGCAAACAAAAAAACCATGCAGAGGATGACAATATCATCTTGGGCATTAAATTTTTCTGCAGCTTTTTAGATACGTAAGAGGTAAGATATTAAGAGTGAAAACTAGGAGTCGGTGCTCTGGCATAGCAGGTCAAGCCGCCTCCTGTGCTGCCGGCATCCCATATGGGCATTGGTTTGAGACCCAGCTGCTCCACTTCCAATCCAGCTTTTTGTTATGGTCTGGGAAAGCAGTAGAAGATGGCTCAAGTTCTTGGGCCCCTGCACCCACATAGGAGACCAGGAAGCAGCTGCTGGCTCCTGGCTTTGGATGGCCCAACTCCAGCCATTGTGGCCATCTGGGAGTGAACCAGCAGATGAACAATGTCTGTGTGTGTGTGTCTCTCTCTCTCTCTGCCTCTATGTAACTGCCTTTCAAATAAACAAATAAATAAATCTCAAAAAAATAAGAGTGAAAACCAGAAAAAAAAAAAACAGACCCACAGGAGGGATTTTAGATTCGAGTTATTAGACATGGATTATAAAATAATCATGCCTTTCATTTTCAAGTAGATAAGAGATCAAAAATTATGGTAAGATGTCTGGAAACTGCAGAGTAACAAGTTTGCATGTTTGCAATTAGAAATCTGAGAACTAAAAATATAATGGGCTAAAAATAACTAAGACACTTACAGAGCAGTAAGTGGGAGAGGACCTGTTTTGTAAACATTAAGAATACATTGGGGACGGCACTGTAGCTCAGTGGGCTAATCCTCCGCTTGCAGTGCCGGCATCTCATATAGGCTCTGGTTCTAGTCTTGGCTGCTCCTCTTCTGATCCACTCTCTGCTATGGCCTGGGCAAGCAGCAGCAGATGGCCCAAGTGCTTAGGCCCCTGCACCCATGTGGGAGACCCGGAAGAAGCTCCTGGCTTCGGACTGGTGCAGCTCCGGCCAGTTGGGGAGTGAACCAGTGGATGAAAAAGACCTTTCTCTCTGTCTTTCCCTCTCACTGACTGTAACTCTACCTCTCAAAAAAATAAATAAAAAAACTTTTTTTAAAAAAAGAATATATCAAGAAGTTGAAACAAAAACTCAGAGACAAAGACACATGAATATATTCAAGTGCCACTTTGGAGGCACTACAAGAGGGAAAGAAACACAAATTCTTTTTATTAAAGAACATCATAAAGAGAGGGAAAGACAAGTCACAGAATAAGAAGATATTTTTAACTATACAGCTATCAAAACCTAAGATTTATAAAGATATTTTACGAATCAGTGAGAAAGACAACTACCAGCACAACCCAAAAAATGGGTAACAGATTTGACAAAGCACTCTATAGAAAATGAAAGCTGAAGTCACCAATAAGCTTATGAGAAGGTGCTCAACTTTACTGGTAATTAGGAAAATGCAGAGTGAAACTGCAATAACACACACCAGAATGGAAAATTTAAAAGATCTATTAATATCATTATGTTCACAAAATGGAGAACTAGGACATCTCTAATGCTTAGGAAAAATTTTCTGATTATCTAATAAAATTTAAGATATGAATACCCTATGACAAAGCAATTTAACTCCTGGATACATATCTTCTTAGCTCTACAGGATACATAAAATAATTTTCATTGTGGAATTGCAATTTTCCAAATTAAAATCATCTCAATTGTCCATAGTCAAAATAATGAATAAACTGGAGTATATCAAACCAAGGTAAATTATACATCAAGGATGACAAAGCACAGCCACAAGCAACAGAGCTGAATCACATGCTGAATCCAGGAAGCAGCACAAACAATGCAGTGCACTCCTTTCATGTAAAGTTAGAAGTGGGAGAAAAGTAAACTGTATTATTTAGGTATACATACAGAGGCAATAACAAAATAAAAACAAGAAGCTAGCAACCATAAAAGGTATGATAGTGGTAATTAAATAAATGGCGTGTGTGGTGGGGAGCTTATTATAACTGAGAATGGACTGCATAGGGATTTTCTAGGCTACTGCCAATAGTGTATTAACTTGAGTGCTGGTTATATAAGTAGCTACTTGAAAAATGTTCTTTAAACTGCCTATTTTTATTTTATGTATTCAAATGTATATATTTCTCAATTAAAAAAAAAACAAAGTTAAGACATATAACAGAGAAAAACCAAAAATTGATTATACTCTGATTTCCAAGATCTCAACTTCCTGATTATTGTTTTTAAATTTTTGAAAAGTAAAATAGTTATACCCACACCTAGTCATTTTATATTGAGTAGATATTTGCAATCCAAATGAATTTAGGATTATATTCATTGTAGTTGAAAGAGATCAAGAGAGTTTTTTTCCCCTCTCAAGATTCAAGACAAATTTTCTTTCTGCCTTCATTTTACTAATTATAAAACAGGACTCCAAACATAAAGGTAATAAATAAGTTTGTGGAAAAGGAATTAAAAGATATGGTTATTTTTGTGCATTAAACTTTGAAATCTATCCATAATTTTTTCATAATATGCATTTTCCATGAACTTTTTCAAGACCTCCTATATGTACGGATTCCACAAATTTTTTTGGATCTACATAAACTTACCTTTTAATTCTGCTTCCCACAAACTTATTGAAGTACCTGTATATTGTTAATTTTTATTCTGTCTCTGTTACCACTACGGTATGATAAAATAGATAAAAAATAAAAATAAAGATACATATATTTTTTTCCAAGTTCTACCACTGGGACAATTTATGAGGAACTCATGGAAAGTACATACTGCTTAAAATTCTAAAAAGAAACAGATTTTGAAATCATCTACTGGTAGTCTGGGACAGGGTTATGAGTATTTCTCCTCACCTGTTTAAATAGAACTTCCAAAAGCTAAAAGCATTTGTAATAACGTCCCCCTATACCCACTGACAGGTGAGACTGCAAAACAGGAAAATTAGGGAATACAAAAGAAAAATTTCTCACAAAACGAACAGCAGAATCAGAATCTCCAGAGTCAACTATGGAACATGACTTATAAAAACAGTTTCAAATTTTTTAGTTTATTTTTGTAAATAAAAAATTACTTTGTACAAAACCAAATTCTTTTTGTACTTAGTATTTCAGTCATCAATAGTGATCTCATGATACAGAAATAAAGTAAGAAAGATGTTCATTAACTTCACCCTGGATTTCCAGTTAGTAAAACTGAATAGAAGAAATGAAGGTAATAACCATTTCCTATAAGGGAAAAAAAGTAATGCAAAATGGCTGTAGGTTTAATCACAAAATGAGTTAATTCCTGTTGATTTTCTTTGTATTTGTTAAAGCATAGATGTCTATAAATAAGAACTGATAGCATGGTTCTAAATTTACTTCAAAGAGATGTGGAGACTTAGACAAAATATAATTAGTTATTAGATCAGACTTGAGGACTATTAAATGTCTCCCTGGGAAATGACAGTTACTGTCAAACAGCAGAAAACAGAGAGGCGTAGAAAAGGCTTCTGATAGTTCTTTTATTATCTTACCCTCTAAGCTATAGAGCCTTGATATTCCTATATTCAATTTCATGTAACATTAATTTTAATTACTAACTTGGGATATGCACAATGGGAGCGGGTAAAATATCACAAACAAAAACTAATTGTTTATTTCAAAGGTAGCCATTTCCTTAAACTCATCCTGTCCAGTTTCCCCCTACCTGCCAAATGCAGACTACTGTTTAATCATACAAATTCACCTTCCACTCCCAAGTGTATATCCCCAACTGGAAAATAATTTTACAAAAGAAAAAAAAATCAAACAGCTGGTTAACAAAACAATTTAAACTATTTCTCAATGGAATAAAAGAAAAGTAAGTATAGAGTACAAAAAGATACCAAATTGGAGTCATAGTGATGTAAATCTAGTCTTTGAATTTTCAAATAATCTAGTAATGGAGTGAACAGCATAGAAGAAAAAGAGACAGAGGGAAATGACTCCCTGAGGTTATAAAATGCCAGCTACATTAGAATGCATGATGGCCTTAGTAACAGAAGAATCACTTGCTGTTCTTCACTGAGTTTACTCAGTGAAGTACTCTACATCATTTTAATAAAAGCACTTACATGAACATGTACAATAGCTCATATCAGAAGACTCAAAGTTTTTTCTCAGTAAAGACATAAAAAAATAAATTTTAATCTTTGTCAACTCTATTGGTGCAGGGAATCAAATAACATGCTTATCTTTAAAATAAAAATATTAAATCACTTTTTTCTGTCCATTACGTTGCTGGAAGAAAAAAAATCAAGACTCCACTAGTGATGATTTTTTAATTTCTATTTTTCATCTATCTAAGGACATTCCCTTTACAAAACCTTTTAGTCTTATGTACTATGACAATCAGGTTTAGAATTCCAAATAAATAAAGTAACCACATTAGAAGGTATATTTAAGAATCAAATGATTAGCCATATTCATCTGTTCACATTTATGGATTCTCTAAGAGGGCTATCCAGAGTCCATATAATACTGTTAACATTTAGTCCAGGTTAACATGTGTTATCTGACCTACTGCTTACAGCTTGCAACACTGCTGCTCTCAACAAAAATCCTGATTTCTTGGAGACAGTGACATAACCAACTCTCATTACACTAGCAGGGGCAACAGGACAGTAAGTCATGACTACACAATTTAAAATGTCTACTCTTCATCCACCACTACCATCCTTCCCTCTTCCCACTAGTATTAGAAGCTTAAAGCCTAAACATATGAGAGGATCAGGGTGCCACACACTATTCAGATAGAAAAGTGGGTGTCAAACACTAACAAAAAAAATTCATAAAATGAGATTAGACCTTTTGGATAGTTGCATTCATTACTTTCAATTTCTTGATCCTTATCACTTCTGGTCATAAATAAATATTTTTTCCTTCTTTTTCATCCAGAGAAGTTAATATACAAATTTGTTGTCATCATTAAAAAATGGTATTCCAGTTCAAAGTAGCTTGTGATCATGGTCATTTGTGAAGCATGAGACAAGTGTACATTAACGCTCCAAAATGTTTTACAGTTCTTTACAGTAGTTTCCTATTGATGTTCCCCTTTAATTAAGGCTTCATCAAAAAGAAATCCATAATATTAGAGCTGATTTTTTTTTCATAGTTTCTGAATTAAGCGCACCATGTCCAAAATCAAGTAGTCCAGGAGTAATTTTAAGACAACTTCTATTAATCACTGTCATGACTGAAGTAGTATCTTACTGGAGGTCCTGGCAAATCTTCATCTCCATCAGTATCTGGGGCAAACGACACAGTAAGATCCACGTATTTCTTCTCAGTAGAAGGTTTCACAAGTTTATGCATTCTAGCAAAAATAAGCACAGATGAATACTTTAGTAAACAATGAAAGGATGATTTGCTAACTAATGCCGCTCAGATAATATCACTCAGATGTTCATTTTTCTTTACCGAAAGCTCTAAACCCAAGTCACTCAATTACCTAATAGTAAGTCCATTTGGACCACAGATGGTAATGATAATGAATTAAAGACTGCCACCCCTCTGCCAAAAAAGTCCTCAAAATATAAGCAATGATTTAAAAAAAATAATTCTCCTTCTACACTCCTTATAAAGTTTAGAGGCATCATAAACTCTCAAGCATTTCTCAATAAAGAGTATAAAGGCAAGCTAGATTTAAATCTTAAAAATATAAGCTAGAAACATCACACCAAACAAAATTCTTTAGCTCTTTCCATACTACAAAGACATTTTTGTTCCAATTGTAATTTTTCATTCTTTATACCATTCACAGTTGTCACATCCTTGGTGAATCATTCCAAATTTTGATTTCCCTAATAGACCACATATGCTCTTTAATTGCTTATGTTAGAACAAACTGTTGCTTTTGCTTTCAATAATCCATCTTCAGGGGCCAGAGTTGTGGTGTAATAGGTTAAGCCTTCACCTGTGGTGCCAACATCCCATATGGGCACCGGTTCAAGTCCCAGTTGCTCCACTTCTGATCTAGCTCCCTGCTTATGTTCCTGGGAAAGGCTCCTTGTTCAGCCCAGCTCTGGCCATTGAGGCCTTTTGGTGAGTGAACCAGCAGACATTAGATCTCTCTCTTTGTCAAATATTACACATTTGAATTAGTATGCCCAAAGTACTCTGTAAAAATTCTTATTGTAGGGGCAGGTGCTATAGCGTGATGGGTAAAGCTGCCACCTGCAGTGATGGCATCCCACATGGATGCCAGTTTGAGTTCCAGCTGTTCCACTTCTGATCCAGCTCTCTGTTATGGCCTGGGAAAGCAGAAGAAGATGGCCCAAGTGTTTGGGCCTCTGCACCTGTGTGGGAGACCTGGAAGAAGCTCCTGGCTCCTTGGGTTCAATCAGTGCAGCTCCGGCCATTGCAGCCATCTAGGAGTGAACCAGCGAATGGAAGACATTCCACCCCCCATCTCTCTGCCTCTCTGTAACTCTGCTTTTCTTTTTTAATTTTTTTTTAAATTTTTTTATTTTTTGACAGGCAGAGTGGACAGTGAGAGACAGAGAGACAGAGAGGCAGAGAGAAAGGTCTTCCTTTGCCCTTGGTTCACCCTCCAATGGCTGCCGCGGCCGGCGCGCTGATCCGATGGCAGAAGCCAGGTACTTATCCTGGTCTCCCATGGGGTGCAGGGCCCAAGCACTTGGGCCATCCTCCACTGCACTCCCGGGCCACAGCAGAGAGCTGGCCTGGAAGAGGGGCAACCGGGACAGAATCCGGCGCCCCGACTGGGACTAGAACCCGGTGTGCTGGCGCCACAAGGCGGAGGATTAGCCTGTAACTCTTCCTTTCAAATAAAATAAATAAATCTTTAAACAACAAAAAAATTCTTACTGCAACAATTTTATTATATTTTAATTCATGATTAACATGTAAGCTTACCTTAGCAGACTATCAACTTGTTGAGAGCAGTGCCATTTGATAAAGATATATAACAAAATACTAACAGGTGTTAACATACATGGAATATTGATGTTCTATCACACTGTTAACACCTTACTGTTATTTTTGTGTTCAACATCTATGGGCACAAACTGTTTGTAGACAGGAAACAAAGTTTCAAAAAGTACAAACAAAGGTGACAAAACAAGTATCTGAGCATGGAACTGAACTCACATCTTTCTAAAGCAAAGCTTGGGCCCTTAACTGCAACCTCACTGACACAAAATATCCAGTTATTAATAGGCATTCAATAAGTATGCACTAAATTAAAAAAATTTAGTAACAGGAGAAATATCATTCACAAAACATATCATTTTGGAGGTTTTAAATATTGGCTACCTCTCAAAAGCATTTTTAAAAATTATTTGCAGCAAATTTAAATTCAACTTATCAATACACTTTTCACCCACACATTCCTCTCATCTGGGTAGCATACAGTAAAGGATCTCTAAATGCTACTCTTAATTTTTCGAAAGATATTTAAGGATCCTTATAAAACAATATAAGGCAAATAATGCCTTAACTAATACTTAACAGTGATTAACTTCAATTAATAAAGTAGAAAAAGCAGAGAGGATAAAAAATGACAAGAGAAAAAAAGAGTAGAGCAAAGGAAGTTGGACATATTCGATTGAGTTTGGGGATACTTGTAGCATTAAATGGGGTCCAGGGAGGCCTCTTTAAGAAATGTAAAGACCAGGGGTGAGTAGAAGAAAAGAGTTCCATGTTAGAACATGACTGGAGTGTTTAAGGAAAAGTAAAGGGGCCTGTGGAGCTGGAATACTTGAGTAAGGATGACAAAGAGGGAAGGAATTTAGAGGAATAACTGGGAAACATATCATTAGGGCCCTGGAGACCACTGCAACTACTTTGACTTTTTTTTTTGTTGTTCTCTTTCTTCCTTTTGGCTTCTGCTCAAACATTACCATACCAGGTAAGAGTATGAAAGGCAGAGGGAACACCAAGACTACTAACATAAGAGAGCAATTCAATATCTTCACTCTCTGTATTTCCTTTTCTTATTTTCTCTACAGCACTCTATCACTATTTGATATACTTGTCAATCTGTTATACAAACTCCTGAAGTAGGACAGGACTTTGTGTTGCTCACTGCTGTATCCCTAATGCTCACAACAGTATTTGAGACATTAGCTGAAAAGTTGATTCTGGACTACAATAAAATTCACAAGAGTGTCTGTAAACCTATGAATTTTTCTTGAGTGGAAGTCTTTTGGACTTTATCTGGCATATTCACTGTCTTTATTTAGGCCATTAGAGAAGAATAATTCTTTTATTTTAATTTCAATAATTTCTATACTTCATTTTTCAGTGTGTGTCCAGCTTATATTTCATTTTTTGAATATTTTGCATATAATGTTTAATACTTACGTTAATTTCAATCTTTTTGCATGACCAGGCATAACAGGAACATAAAGCATTTTGACTCCCTGTACCACCATTGTTGGTTCAATGCCGTACTTCTCCTTAAATACCCAAAAGTGAAACAATCAAGGCCTCATACTTATGGAAAACATATTTTATAACCAGCAAGAAAGAGCCAACTTTTGCTAAATATTATAATCACCAATAAAGATATGGGTAAAAACTACAGCGGTCCCCTTTTACCTAGAGTTTCACTTTTGAAGGTCAAAATTTGAAGGAAAATTCCAGAAGGAAACAATCTATAAATTTAAATTGCGTGCTGTTCTGAGTAGTATGATGAAATTTCCTGTCTTCCCATTCCATCCCACCTTGGGTGAAAATCATGCTTTTGTCCAGCATGTTCATGCTGTATTTGCTGCCCTCTTAGCAGCCATCTCAGTTACTACATTGACTTTTATGGTATTGCAATGCTTTTGTTTAAGAAACCCCTAGTTCATTTAATAGTGGCACCAAATCACAAGAATCATGATTCTGCCAATTTGGATATGTTAAATAGAAGCTATGAAGTTCTTCATTTAAATGAAATGATGAAAGGTTTTGACTTAAGGAAAGCAAAAAATATATGCTGAAGTTCCTAAAATCTATAGTGTAGTAAGGAGAGAATATATTCACATAACTTTTATTATAATAGTAAAAATTTTTACTTTATTATTAGTTTTCGTTGCTCTCTTACTGTGCCTACTGTATAAATTAAACTTCATCATAGCGATGTATGATAGGAAACAATATAGTGCCTAGACAATTTGGTGCTTTGTGGTTTCAGCCATCCACTGTGGTTCTTGGAATATATATCCATGAATAACGGGGGACTAACGTAAATAGAAATGAGACTCAAATTTCTAATGAAACAAGTGAATAAAAGTATCTCACTTTTACTGCATTTATGAAATCCAATAGGGTGAAATCTTCTTTTCCATGTATAGTCCATCTGTCCCAAATTGTAAATGAGATTCCATTTCTATAACAGAAAAATATTCAGAACACAAACATTTAAGTTCTCTTCCCTTTAGTAACAGTTTTAATAGAAATTAATGTAGGCACAAAGGGACAACTTCTAAAATATTTTATAACTTAATTCCTCATCACATCAAGACAACCACTTTTACTAGTACTTTATTGATCTGTTCAGTGTCTCATCACGAGTTGGTATGTCTTAGTGACAGAGTGTGCTCTCTCTCTTTTTAAACAGCCATGTGTGAGTTTCATTGTGTGGATGTCCCAGTCCCCTATTACTACCAATCATTTTTGGCTATGATACACAATGCCCAAATGAACATCCTGAACACATATAATGTGTGCAAATTTGAAATACTAATTTATGTCTCTTACAGATTATACTTTTGTACTCTCTTTTTTCAATATTTTTAAATTTTTATTATTTTTGACAGGCAGAGTGGACAGTGAGAAAGACAGACTTAGAGAAAGGTCTTCCTTTTTGCCCTTGGTTGACCATGCAATGGCCTCCGCGGCCGGCGTGCTGTGGCTGGCACACCGCGCTGATCCGATGACAGGAGCCAGGTACTTATCCTGGTCTCCCATGGGGTGCAGGGCCCAAGCACTTGGGCCATCCTCCACTGCACTCCCGGGCCACAGCAGAGAGCTGGCCTGGAAGAGGGGCAACTGGGACAGAATCCGGCGCCCCGACCGGGACTAGAACCTGGTGTGCCGGCGCTGCAAGGTAGAGGATTGGCCTATTGAGCCGCGGCGCCAACCTACTTTTGTACTCTCATTAGTACTGTATTGGAATGTTTGCTTTCTCATATCCCTGTTAATACTGTCTCCTTTCTCATATCCCTGTTAACTGTCTCCACAAGTTTATGGCTGTTCAAATCCAGAAAATGAAAAGCAGAAGTCCATGGAATTGTTTTGCTTCATCACAAGCTTCTAGAATTCGATTCTGAATCTCATGATCCACAGTCACACACCTAGAGTGTCTGCTGATTCTTCTGGGTTAGGCAGACACCGAGAAACTGTAAAACCATTAAGAAAATACAACCTAAACAGTGCAGCAGATAAAAGTGTTGTGAGCATTCTGTGGCTAGTTTAGTCAGAAATGCTTCATTAAGATGAGGTCTGATTTAGTCTTGAAGTAATGACAAGGATTTACATTTACAGAAAGAAAGGAGAGGTGAGCCAATACTTTTACCTCTAAAAAGGTAACTTTTATTTCATTTTCATAATACAGGAAAAACAGACCTTCAAACACACCTGATTTCAGTTTTTCTCACTTCAGTTGTCTCTGTAAACACTAGAATTGGAATGGCTAGGTTAAGAAAACAATTTTTGTAAGCTTCAAATGGATAGCCACCAGCCACTTTGATCATCTCCAGGGCAACCTAGATAAAAGAAGGTGATTTAATTATACAAATAGTCTAAAACTATGCATGATCTTAACTGGGTTTATTCAATTTTCTCACGTATGTTTTAAGAATAACTTTGGAGTAGTGGTATAATATGGTATAATAACTAGGGCTATACTAAAGCTTTTGAGTCATTAAAATGAAAGATATTGACTCCTTAAGAGTGCAGATGACATTTTATTCAAGAAAACAGAACAGCTGCTTTTGTATGGGCTACAAAGGTGACAGAAAGGATTATAGCCTAAAAGAAAAACTATAATTTAATGTTGAGTTTATTTCTCAGTTTCTAATTTTTATGGATTTATTTCAGAGGTAGAGAGACATAGAGAAAGAGAGAACTCCCATCCTCTAGTTCACTCCCAGGATGCCTGCAATGGCCAGAGGTAGGCCAGGCTGAAGATGGAAGCCAGGAACTAAATTTAGGTCTCCCAAGTGAGTATGACAGGAACTCAATTACTTGAACCGTAACTTATGCTTTGTAGGGTCTGCATTAGCAAGAAGTTAAGAGTTGGCAGTAGAGTTGGGTATTGAACCCAGGTACTCTGATATGGCATGTGGGGTATCTTAAATGCTCGGCCAAATGACAGATTTCTGAGTTTATTTTTTATGTTAAAATGCTTTATACATAACAACCTCAAAGCATACATTACTATATTCTCCCAAATATCTTGATATTTTAAATTGTAAGATCCAATATTTATTCCTCCATCTCTAAGATCTCTAAGTAATTTGCTGGAGTTGGTAAAATGGGGAAGACCAGAAAGAAGCAATGAAAAAGGCATACTTTTATTTAAAGAATCATAAACTTACCAAGCCAGAAACCGCAGCAGTAGATGTTGCTATGGCAGGTATAATTTTCCCAGCGATTCGCTTTGTTTTGAAACGGTCAGCTGGTTCAATGCTATACATTTTGGCACGAAGATTGGAGGCCGCTGTGATGAAATCTATGTGTCCATTACTATCATCATCCTTTTCAAAGGAAAGCACTGCCATTTGAAGGTCACCTGATAACAACCAGAACAAAGTTCCCTAAGTGGCAAAGCTTTTTCTAGTTAAAAAGCAATGTGAGTTGATAACCTTTTTTTTTTTTTCCCCCGAAGATTTATTTATTTGAAAGAGGTACAGAGAGGCAGAGAGAGAGAGAGAGGGCTTCCATTCACTGGTTCACTCCCCAAATGGCCGCAATGACTGGAGCTGAGCCAATCTGAAGCCAGGAGCCTGGAGCAGGGGGCCATGGACTTGGGCCATCTTCTACTGCTTTCCTATCCATAGCACAGAGGTGGACTGCAAGTGGAGCAGCTAGGACTCAAACTAGCGCCCATACGGGATGCCAGCGCTGGCTCCTGAGCTCACTACATTTAAGATTCTATTTTGTGGCTGCGCCCACATGGGCCTAGCCACAGCCATTATAAGGCCATTTGGGGAGTGAACCAGAGGATGGAAGACCGATCTCTCTCTCTCTCTCTCTCTCTGCCTTTCCCCTCCCCTCTCTGTAACTCTGCTTTTCAAATAAATAATCTTATTATTTTTTTAAGATGAACAGTTACTTTCCTCATGATGAAGAAATCAACTAACACCAATGTTATTATTTAATTCTACAAACTTTTGGTGTAAAGCTTAGTGAAAACAGTAATTCACTCAATTCAAAACATTTTTTTTTAAATTTTATTTATTTATTTATTTATTTATTTATTATTTATTTTGACAGGCAGAGTGGACAGTGAGAGAGAGAGACAGAGAGAGAAAGGTCTTCCTTTGCCGTTGGTTCACCCTCCAATGGCCGCCGCTGCAGCCGGCGCACCGCACTGATCCGATGGCAGGAGCCAGGAGCCAGGTGCTTTTCCTGGTCTCCCATGGGGTGCAGGGCCCAAGCACCTGGGCCATCCTCCACTGCACTCCCTGGCCATAGCAGAGAGCTGGCCTGGAAGAGGGGCAACCGGGATAGAATCCGGCGCCCTGACCGGGACTAGAATCCGGTGTGCCGGCGCCGCAAGGTGGAGGATTAGCCTATTGAGCCACGGCGCCGGCCTCAATTCAAAACATTTTAATAAATACTTTCTCTTACTTTTGGTAGCTTCATTAGATGAAATAGCCTTTTCCAGCTGGAAAACAGCATTCCTCTCATCTTCACTGCTAACAGGAACATGCTCTGGTTTCCTTGCTGTTTCATCTGTTTGAACAACCTTCAAACACACAAACATATTTGTTAATTTTATCACATTCTGCATCTAAATCTGGTTACCACTTTCCTATTAAATAGATCAAAAAGAAAAAACATTTCCTCCATGTATTTTAATCAGATTGTTAATCATTATGGTCCAGTGTATTTTATATTTTCCTTTAGTAAGTAGCATTTTATTATTTATATATGTGTTTATCTTTTCAAGGTAGCATGTACACACTATGAGAACCCCATATCTAAAACAACTTTTTTTTAAAGAAATTTAAGCCATATAAGAATATTTATTGTCATGTGAAAATGTTAATATGCTCCTATATGAAATATAATTGCATACTTACAAGCATTTGTTTATTGTTCATTTCTACCCCACTGATATGTAAGAGCAACAAGGGCAAGAATTTTGCTCATTGTGGTGTTCTCCAGGTTTAGATTGGGACTTGACACAAGTAGAAAATCAATATATATTTGCTGAATGAATGAAACATACCTTATTGGAAGGCTTGAACTCCTCAATCTTTACTTCTGCAAGAATATTCTGGAGGGCGTCTGCTGATAAGCCCTATTTTTCAAAAAATTCATTTTATCAATAACTTATTAGTCCAATTTTGAATTCTAAAGCTAAAACAACCATTAAAAGGTCCTTTATCATATGAAAATTCCTTGAAAATACTGAATATTTAGATAAGAATCATTTGAGACAATTTATCTTTATTTCTAGAGAAATATCACTCTTAACGGGCTCCTATGGGATGTTGGAAGAGGCAGTTAAAAAGCACTAATTAGACAACAAACCTGAACTCTTAGTTCTTTCTATAATTTGTAAGAAGTTAGTTTCTGAATATAAGACTGAGTGCCTTGAGATCCAGGACTACTGTTTTCATTTCCTCAATTTCAATGTTTTACAAAGTTCCCTGCACAATATGATACTCAATAAATTAAATAAGTAAAAAAATTTATACCTTGAGAAGCTGAAAAATATCTGAATGGTTCAAGATGAACTTAAGATAAATTTAAAGCTATTAAAGACACTTTCGTTATAAAGAAGCTGCTTAGAAAATACTGAGGTACACTGCTTTTGACGTTAATTACCATTCACATCATGAAACTACCACTCTTATACACAAAAAGAATACCAAACTACATGCCCCTATTTTTACCAGATATATGTGGAATATTTTGTTTGTATAAACTCAAAGCAGGATCAATCCACAACAGGCATTTTAATCTGAATCCAAAATAGTGTTATTTATGGATCTGGTTCATATTTCTCCATTTAGCCTGCCTAAAAGTACACCAATGTGCTTAATTCTAATATATATATATATGAAGAAAAATTCACTTATGCATATGTGTCTCTCAACGTTATATTTGAGTCTTAAGATCAGAATAGGGAGCTTTTTGACTGCCAAGGGCCATTTGGATATTTATAACATTATTCAAGGGCCATACAAAATTATCAATTTATATTGGCCTACTATCAATGTATTGAATTTTGAATGTCTCCTGTGGTTGTCTTGGCATGGCCAGAGCAAATGATTTCATGGGCCTTATGTGGACTGTGGGCTAGCGTTCCCCACAGATGATATCTAAAGAGTGAGTATGATGATAAAGGTAAAGAAATGTCAATAAAAGGGTGCATTTTCAGATTTCTGGGAAAATATATAAGTTAATATCACAATGTAAGTAAAAAAGTTTATAAAGTGACTCTAAGAGGAATACTCTGAAATTACTATGAAATGGTTTAACTTTTTAGAATAATTAACTGAAGCTGATTAACAAATTAACTGAAGCTGTTTTCCAAATATTGTTATTTTATTACTTAAAATACAGAAAAGAAATATTTGACTTTCTTCTATTTGGTAAAACTGAAGTGAGTGTTTAGCTTCTATTATGAGTCTTAAATATGAAGGGTAATCAGAAAGGACATGGAAAATGATAACCATATGGATCAAAACATTTTTTAAAAAATTTTATTTATTTTTTTTTGACAGGCAGAGTTAGATAGTGAGAGAGAGACAAAAAGAAAGGTCTTCCTTTTTCCTTTGGTTCACTCCCTAAGTGGCTGCTATGGCCGGTATGTCGCGGCAGCATGCTGTGCCGATCTGAAGCCAGGAGCCAGGTGCTTCTCCTGGTCTCCCATGTGGGTGCAGGGCCCAAGCATTTGGGCCATCCTCCACTGCACTCCCGGGCCACAGCAGAGAGATGGACTGGAAGAGGAGCAACCGGGACAGAATCCGGCGCCCCAACCGGGACTAGAACTCGAGGTGCCGGTGCCGCAAGCAGAGGATTAGCCTAGTGAGCCGCAGCGCTGGTTGATCAAAAATTTTTTGCATTAAAATAAGCTTATCTTTTAATTCTATTTTTCCATGAACTTTTTGAAGTACTTTCATATGTTAGAATGGGCATCAATACAACAAAACAAAGTTTATATATAAAAGAAAGAGTCTTATAACCAAAAAAACCCCATACTTTGATGCAATCCGATGATTTGTCACTCATCATTTGCTAGGATTTGAAACATATCTTACCTCTTCTGTAAATGGAATGCAATACACCGTAGCATATAGTTTTGCAGCATTCTGAAGAAAACTGAGGTGCCTTTTGAAAAAAAAAAAAAAGATTAAATATACAGTTTTAAACATGGTGTTTTTACTCTTAGGACTTACAGTCTTGAAAATATTCAAAGAAGATTTTTTTCAAAAATTTATTTATTTATTAGAAAGTCAGAGTTATACAAAGAGAGATGGAGAGGCAGAGAGAGAGAGAGGGAGAGAGAGAGAGGTCTTCCAACTGCTGGTTTACTCCTCAATTGGCTACAACAGCCGGAGCTGTGCTGACCAAAGCTAGGAGCCAGGAGCCTCTTCTGAGTTTCCCTCGCTGGCGCAGGGGCCCAAAGACTCGGGCCATCTTCTACTGCTTTCCCAGGCCATAGCACAGAGCTGGATTACAAGTGGAGCAGCCAGGACTCGAACCGACACTGGGATGCTGGCACTGCAGGTAGTGGTTTTACCCACTACGTCATAGCGCCGGCCCCATTGATAGAATTTTTGCTATAGGATTATTGTTTTAAAAGTTAAGACAATGCAATTTTAGTCTAGATGAAAATACTGCATAAGTCTTTATGACTTGAAATGTTTATTCCTGGCTGGCACCGTGGCTCACTTTGCTAATTCTCTGCCTGCAGGCCGGCACCCCGGGTTCTAGTCCCGGTTGGGGCACCCGATACTGTCCCAGTTGCGCCTCTTCCAGTCTAGCTCTCTGCTATGGCCTGGGAGGGCAGTGGAGGATGGCCCAAGTGCTTGGGCCCTGCACCTGCAAGGAAGACCAGGAGGAAGCACCTGGCTCCTAGCTTCGGATCGGCGCAGCGGACTGGCCATGGCAGCCATTTCGGAGGTGAACCAACGGAAGGAAGACCTTTATCTCTGTTTCTCTCTCTCATTAACTCTGCCTGTCTAAAAAAAAAAAAAGTTTATCTTCAAAAACACTAATATTCAGGTAGTGATTATGAAGTAGAAAAATTGGACTATTGAAAGAAAATTCATTTTAATTCATTAGAAGACATTATTACACTTGAACTTAAAGAGTATATTATCATATTCAAACTAAGCAAGTGAATTTGTTTAAAAAATAAAGTTAAGGATTAGGGCCGGTGCTTTGTAGTGGGTAAAGCCACTGCCTATAGTGCTGGTATCCCATGTGGGTACTGGTTCGAGTCCCGGCTGCTCCACTTCCAATCCAGCTCTCTGTTGTGGTCTGGGAAGGCAGTGGAGGACGGCCCAGGTCCTTGGGCCCCTGCACTCATGTAGGAGACCGGAATAAGTTTCTGGCTTCTGTATTCAGACTGGTGCAGCTCTGGCCACTGAGGCCATCTGGGGAGTAGGATGTCTCTCTGCCTTTAACTTTGCCTTTCAAATAAATGGATAAACCTTAAAAAAAAAAAAAAAAAGCTAAGGCTTAAAGAAGGAGCAGCTCAGAATAAGGTGACATGGGGCCGGCATTGTGGCATACAAGATTAAGCTGCCGCCAGCAATGCTGGTATTTCCAAATAAGCACCAATTCGAATCTTGACTGCTCCACTTCTGATCCAGTTCTCTGCTAATATGCCTGGGAAAGCAGTGGAAGATGACCTGAGTTCTTTGGTTCCTGCTACCCACGTGGGAGATCTGGGTGGAGTCTAGACTCCTGCCTTTGGCTTGGCCCAGCTCTGGCCATTTGAGGAGTGAACCGGTAGATAGAAGGTCTCTCCCTTTCTCTCCCTGTCTCTCTCTCTTAACTCTGCCTTTCAAATAAATAAGTAAATCTTAAAAAAATAAACAAAAAAACCCAAAAGAATAAAATAACCTGAAGCCTACAACATACACCAAGTGAGAATATTAAGCAGTTACTTGCATAAAAGATTACTTAGTAATTAATATTTAACTACAGTGTATACATATATGTGTGAATATGTCTATCTAATACAGTTTATTCAGGTATTGAAAAACCAACTCCTTTGAAAATTAATTTGAAATCATTTATGGTGATGCTCAGTAACATTTTCTTCCATGTAACTAAAGATTCTTTGCTCCATTAAATATAAAAACATTTATTTTAGTTTTACTTTTGTATAGACAAATGTAAATCTTAAAAAAGATGATTTTGGTTTCTTCCAAGTAGATATAAATAATTAAGTTATTTGCCATGTAAATAAATGGCTTCACATTTGTGTGGGAAGAAGGTTGTAACTGGCTTGTTGGTCAAGATGACTTCTGAGTAACTCTTGGGAATGCAATCATTTCACATTAAAGATCCTGAGGTTTTGTACAGTTATGAAATTTACACAGTTAAACTAGATATAAATACTCACAAAGGTTCATTTAAATCAAATTTTATTGGAGAAGGTGGCCTCTTTGGTGATTGCCAAAATAAACCTAACAAAAAGATATAAATATCATTTCTAATGCATATAGCCAGTAATAAATTACATTTAAATTTCTTCTCAACATCTGGTTATACTTACTGCCATCTTTTAATCTTGTGTCTAGGGGAAAACAATGAAGAAGCTGAAGAGCCTAAAGAAAAAATAATCAAACACAAGAAATCTACTACTTAATATTTTCTATATGAGGAAAAATTATTTTTCAGAATAAATACATTTTATGTAATATTAAGATGCACATGCTTCATAAATTAAAGTGCTGATGACAGAATGTAGAATCCTAGTCTCCCCTGCATTTTATCTATCCATTCTTCTGTCATTGCCCACTGTACCTGAAAAAACTATTATCATTTTTTACCAACACTTAGTTTTTTTTGCATTTACAGCAAGCAATATAATTACTTAATTTCTTTGTTTATAAATGGTAGCATATTTTAGATATCACTTTGCTCTTTTCAAAGAGTTAACCCTTAAAAGAAACAATTAAATCAGTAAAAATAAATAAGATTTTATAATTTGAAAACATATATCGTTTGAGATTTGTTTCAAAATCATCTGGTGGCAAGTGAGAAAGGGCAGGGATGTGGATGACATGGATGATCTGAGTTGATTATCACTAAACCTGAGTTATAAGTAGATTATGATTACATCATACTATTTCCTCTGTATGTATGTGGTTGAATTTTCTCTGTAATTAAACAAAATAATTTTTACAAAAACCCACAGCAGAAGTAAAAAGTACTCTTTAATAAAATTTTGAAACAGATAGGTCATTGATAATAAGGGTAAGAGCAATGTGAATGACTTCACATTTACAGGGTAAGGAAGTATAGACCATTTTTACAAATGCAGAGCCAGGAAAGAAGATTGAAAGATAGGATAAGCCTAATTAAAAGATTTAAAAATAATGAACTTGCTTTATATTCTGATATGTAAGAGCCTAAAGAAAAGGAGAGACTAAAGAGTGTAGGACACATTCTAGTAACTGTGCATAATGGGAGGTAACATTAACAGCTATAGTGTTTATTTGTACCGTGCTCTGTTCTAAACATGTTTTACATGTATTTACTCAAATGATTCTCACCACTACCCAATGTATTAGATAACAAGCTATTATCTCTATTTTACATTAGAAGAAATAGAAATAAAATATGATCATCAGAGTAGGAATGGCAAAATTTCAATTTTCTCAGTCTCCTGCCTCTATTCTGAACTAATCTTCTGAACATTCTAGACAAAAATATATTCTTCATTCTCTAGAGAAAAAAGCTATCTAAAATCTAGCTTTGTACATAAGACAAGATCAGTTAAATGCATAATTCAGAAGCCAATGAGTAAAATTTAAATATATCTTTTAAGCAGTAACATTGAAAGAGAGTATGTCATGTGTGTAGACCCTGTTCTTACTCAACATATTTATTTTTGAAAAGCTTGCTAAAAAAGGGTAGACATTTCAGGACAACAAAATAAATAGTATTAACTAAATGAGCCAAGATCAACCTTTTTAAAATGTTTCATACTGCATGCTTACCTTGTGGTTAAAATACTTCTCAAATTTTAATCTTGCTAATTCTACACACTGAGACCAGTTTCTTGGTCTTCTGCTAAGTAACTTAATAACTTGAAAACAACCTTCTAAGCTGTGTCCATTTTGCATCTTCTAGAATGGGAGATAGAAAAAATTAATACAACTCCAATAAACACATACACTCCAAAAGTATTAGTCAAAGTCTTAAGTGCTTTATGACTCTTTTTTTTTTTTTTTTTTTACCTCAAGCTCCTTGTCTCTACCTTTCTCCTTTCCCTTTGAATTTGTTTTTTTTTGGAAGCAGGGGAGTGGAACGAAAGTAGACAGCACATGAACTTTTAACTCAGATTTACTGTCTATTTATAAAATATTCGCTAGAACTTCACTTTTTTTTCCTCCAAAGTTTAACAAGCCTTTTAATTATTAGCAGCTTTTCCATAATAATTATTATACTTTTATTAGGTTAAATTATATGAATTGGTGTTTTATGGATCAAATACAAATATCAACATTTTCATCGACTTCAACCAAATTAAAAAAAGTATCACATGTGACTCCCTTTAAGATTCCTGATGTATTATTTTGGTTTTTTTGAACAAGGCAATGTTTTAATCACTCTTTTTTGGAGACAAAAGTAAACTGCTGGTAAGCAACTTGAAATTCAGATTATACTGACACAAAGTGTGAGGTCTGTACTAAAAAGCATCAATTTTGGGTGGCCCAGCAGGTTAAGCCTCCACCTGTGAGGCTGGCATTGCATTATGAGCACGAGTGCCAGGAACTCCACTTCAGATCCAGCTCCCTGCTGATGTACCTGGGAAAGTAGTGGAAGATGGCCCAAGTGTGTGGGCCTCTGCCACCTACGTGGGAGATCAGGACGGAGTTTCAGGCTCCAAGCTTCAGCGTGGCTGAACCCCAGTGGTTGTTGCCATTTGGGAATTGAACCAGCCAGTAGATGGAAGATCTCTCTCTCTTTCCCTCTCTTAACTTTGCCTTTCAAATAAATAAATAAATCTTAAAAAAAAAGGAAATCAATTTTTACCTGTAAGACATCTTCTGCAGATGGATAGGTTTGCCAAAATTTGTTAAACAGTGAAGGCTTATGGGAAAAGGAACTTTCAAACTACAAAGAAGTACAGGAAAAAAGTTACAAATAGAAGTGTGTCTAAAAGTTGGAAACAGCTTCTTTCCTACTTCAAAGAAAACAAATTCCTTGAAAAGGAAATTTTACCTTATCTCTTGCCCACTGTATAGTATGTTCAATAGCAGCCGGAAAGGATTTTAGAGTACAAAATGGTATTTCCTCTTCTGGGGGATCCCGCTAATTTGTAAGATATAACAGTAGATATTTAAGAGAAGCAATGACATATTTTTATCGATCCCATGTACTTTTGAGTTTTATGACCATTAAAAAATCCATAAACAAATAAAATGCAACCACACATCTTTATCTTCTCTCTTCTAGGCAGTAAGAGGAAAAGTCAGTCAACTCTTTTGACAATTTATTTGTTAATAGCAACGTAATGACAATCATGAATCCTATTACCATTTATTATCTGTGCACTCATACTGGCACAGTATGGCATACTATGCAGTACTCAAGAAGACAACCACATATATTCATGTTTTTTCTGAAAATTCAAGGAGACATTTAAACTTATAGTACTGCCTACTATAAAAGTTAATTCAAAGATTTGTAACACAGTGTTCAGCAAATCATGAGTTTCTTTAGGATCAGGAATCATTGTCTATCTGTGAAGCTTGGTACAACTTCTTACAGAAAGTTTGTATTCAGTAAACGACATATGTATAAGCTGTGTCATCTAAAGAAGCCCATCTTCTATTAGAGGGTTCATTTAGCCTAGGTTTATTGGTTTAACCAATATAAAATGAATCACTTTGTTTTTATTTAGAGATTTATATTTAGTTTGTTGGTTGATGAAATACTGCTAAATACTTTATAACAAAGAAGGAAACCAGAATAGTATTATTTTCTGGTTTTTATGAGTTTCAAGTCAGAAGACAGATAACAAAGTTTACATAATTTTCTCCATTCAATGTTCAAATTAAACTTGTCAGTTTTAGTCTGTTAAAATACTTTCATTATATTATATATAAATGTCTTATTTCATGAGACTACATGGTAAAAATAAACTTTATAAAAATTTCAAAACATACCAGACCAAACATAGGCATTAAGTAAATGTATATTCAAACTAAATGCCCGTCAATTGAAGACTGGATAAAGAAATTGTGGGATATATACTCTATGGAATATTATACAGTGGTTAAAAAAATTAAATCTGGTCATTTGCAATGGGTGTGAATCTGGGTGGATGAATCTGGAAAACATCATACTTAGTGAAATAAGCCAGTCCTGGGGCACAGGTACTAGTTGTTCTCCCTGATCTGTGATAACTGATTGAGCTCTTAAAAGGGGATCTGTAGAAGTACAAATGACACTTTGAGAAGCAATGACTTGAACAGCCCTTGTCTTGAATGTTGAGGAACAGTTTGTTTTTTTTTTTTCTTAATGGAGAATGGGACTGGGAATGGGTAAGGGAGGAGGGGGAGGAGTAGGAGTTGGGGGGGAGGAGTAGGAGTTGGGGTGGGAGGACAGGTGTGGTGGGAGGAATCACTATATTTCTAAAGTTGTACTTGTGAAATTTGTACTCATTAAATAAACAGTTTCTTTGGGAAAATAAGGGAAAACAAAAAACAAAAAACAAATATATATAAAGTACCTAGAAATATACTTGGCATAAAATAGGTTTTCATTCATTTGTTAATTCATTCAAAAACATTTATTAATATATACTATTAATATATAATTAATATATACATTTATTAATATATACTATGATTCGGCAATGGACAAAAATTGCTGCTCTAAAGAACTATCAGGGCATGGACACAGGTGGACATCCTGACAAAGTACATCCTATGGTGATAAATGAGAAAAAAAAGCAAAAAAAAAAAAAAGCTGCATGCGGCTGGCACTGTGAGGCAGAAAGTTAAGCCACTGCTTGTAACACCAGCATCTCATGTGGACTCAGGTTCGGGTTCTGGCTGTTCCAATTCTGATCCAGCTCCTGGTTCACACACCTGGGAAGGTAGGGGAAGATAGCCCAAGTGTTTGGGCCCCTGTCATCCATGTGGGGTACGCAGGGGAGGCTCCTAACTCCTGGCTTTGGCCCAGTCCAGCACCAGCTGTTGTGGCCATTTGGGAAGTGAACCAGTGGATGGAGGATTTCTCTCTATTTGCTTCTCCCTTACTCTAACTCTGCCTTTCAGGTAAATGGATGGATCTTTAGGAAATAAATAAATAAATAAATAAATATTATGTTTGTAAAAAATATAATTCTTTCCTTTTTCAAACAGATTAATAGTCTTTAAATCATAAGCCTACAAATATTTCTTAGATTATTTTCAGCTCTGACAGTCCCTCAAAAGTCACTTTTGAGAGTTAAAATATCTTATCTGTTTCATTTATGTAAAATACACATATATACATGCTTTGGTCCCAGCATGAAGATTTTCATTAAGATTTTAGGTGGGTCACCAGAGTTTGCACTTTTATCAATATTTCTGACAAAGCATGCCAGAAGTGTGAATTCCTAATGAGAAGAAACAATATTAGAAAAGGTACAAAATGACTACATCTACCTTCTTTGTTCTTTATACACCTGCTAATCTAACATAAAATCTCAGAGGAATAGTAAATGAATAAAATGTTACAGGTTTGTTCTTTCTCATGCTAAAATTTTAATAGTTCTTGTCAAAGACTGTTAGAATGGTAATCAAAAAGCTCTAAGAACTCTTTAATTAACACACAATTATTCTTAGGTGTTTAAACTTAACTGAAAAGTGATCCCTGTTAAATATAAGAGTGGGAATAAGAGAGGGAGGAGATCTACAGTTCGGCACATGCTCACTCGGACTTACTCCTAATCGTAGAGCTAGATACGTGCCAGGGGATTCCAAATCAATCCCATCAAGGTGGCATGTACCAATGCCATCTTACTAGTCAAACTGATTACTTTAAGTTCATAATTGATCATAATAATAGGATTAAGTGCCAAAAGGATCACATAAACAAGACTAATGTCTGCTAATAATAACTAACAGAAGTTAAAAGGAGAGAATGATCCAACATGGGAAGTGGGATACACAGCAGACTCATAGAACGGCAGATGCCCTAAACAGTGCTCTGGCATCAGAATCAGCCCTTAAGGCATTTGGATCTGGCTAAAAAGCCCATTAGAGTTTCTCAGGCATGGAAAGCCAAGACACTGTGGCAAATAAAACGACCTAAATGAATGATCTCTGTGAGTAAGATCCCAGTGGAAAGAACGGGCCATCAAAGAAGGAGGTACCTTTCTCTGAAGTGAGGAGAAAACTTCCACTTTGATTATGGCCTTGTCTAAATAAGGTAGGAATTTGTGAATTCAAGAGGCTTCCTTAGCCTTTGCAGCTCACGACAAGTGTCTTGGGTAATTACTGACGTCATAAATAAGATTGTCAATTGTTAAAACAACAACGGGAGTCACTGTGCACTTACTCCCCATGTAGATCTCTGTCCTTAATGTGTTGTACTATGCGAATTAACGGTAAAACTAGTATTCAAACAGTATTTTCTACTTTGTGTATCTGTGTGGGTGCAAACTGTTGAAATCTTTACTTAGTATATACTAAGTTGATTTTCTGTATATAAAGATAATTGAAAATGAATCTTGAAGAATGGGATGGGAGAGGAAGTGGGAGATGGGTTTGCTGTGGGTGGGAGGGAGGTTATGGGGGGAAACGCCACTACAATCCAAAAGTTGTACTTTGGAAATTTATATTTATTAAATAAAAGTTAAGAAAAAAAAAGAGGTTCTAAGAAAAAATAGTCAACATAAAACTAATACTCTATAAAGACCAGATACAAAATTTTGACAATTAAAAATAAAATAAGATATTTTTAAAAATGCACATGTACATGTGTATGGCAATAATTGGTCAAACAAAAAGAAAAGGACTCAGAAAAGTAAATCAAACTTTTTTGACTGATGAAGACAAAAAAGTTATGACATAAAAGTTGACAGACATTTACTTCAAAATATCATTTCACTTACATGACTATTGTAAGACTCAGTCAAATGAGGTACAATAACTTCTGTGTGTCCCTTAGTGCCCATTGTTCCAGAATCTAAGAGAGGTCGTAGATTTGCTAAGCAGCGGCTATTTGAAAACATAATAAGTAAAAACTCAGGAGTGAGCAATAACAATGTAAACAAAGGACACCCTACCACTTCCTACTGACCATTTCACAGACTCAACACTCCCTGAATGTAATGTTTTAGAAAGTAGATACAATACCACAAAATAACACATTGATTTTTAGCATCCCACTCCCATACACAAATTTTGTTGCTCAACCTAGTCATTTTTGTCTCTCTCTTCGACTACTGTTAACTGAATCTTTGGCTCTTAACAGTGTTACCCTTTCTTCTCTTGCTTTCTATGTCTTCTTTGATGATTTTCTGACTGCCAAATTTGATACCACAATATCTTTTCTCCCAAACACTGTTAATCTTTCTCAATACTTAAAATTCCTATGTTCTACATACTTTAATTTCTTCTTTTTCTCAAGATTATCAACTTTTCAATGCATTTTTCAACTGGTGAACCCTAATATTAAGGAGTCATATAAATGTAATAAAGTAAGGTATATACAGTTGTAGTCATTCATTCAACTCTTATTTCACAAGTATTTACTGAATAACACCATGAGTTAAGCACTGAGGACACAGTGAAAGAACATAAACAGTCTTAGCATAAATGATTTAGTGAGGCAAAAAACATTTATACACATATAGATAAAAATAAGTACTACAAAGAAAAAAGTATAAAGTGCTTTGAAGGAATCCTGCAAGATCTAATTTAAGCTTTAGCAGTTCAAGAAAATCTGTTTAAACAAAGTCATTTAGGCTAATCTGAAAGCATGAGGAAAAAAACTAAGTGAAGAGTAGGTAGGCAGATCTAGGATCAGAAGTTCTGGAGCAACAGAAACAGAATTTTTTGAGGCTGAAGAATAGTAGGTCCAAGACCCAGAGATTAAAAAAAAAAAAAAGTGGAGGTCTTTAAGAACTGAAAAATGGCACATGCAGTGCAATGCAGCTGTTTATCACTGCCCTCTCACCAGGCAAAAGCTAAAGCAGCGAGTCTGGAGGGATCAGGAAAATTTTAAGCCAGACAGGTACACAGGTGATAATTATTCCATTAAAAACATTTAGGCACGTGACCAATTTTGATTGGAAAACATCAAAGGCTTTAGGTTTAGGGAGCACTAGAATAGGAACATAACGAACAATCAGAAAATCCAGTAACTTCTCAATAAGTAGTTGTGGGAAACAGTAATGAAAATTAAGGATAACTCTTTATGAACCTGAATTTCAAGAGCATACCTGTCTACATATCTCCTGGCTTCCACATTATCTAATGCTGTAATAATTATATCTTGCTTAGTATAGAACTCATCATTGTAAATGGTCTCAGTGGCTGGACATACTTTGTTCAGGTGTGCATCTATTTTTAGTTGAGGATTTATTTTCAGAGTCGCATCAGCAGCAGTATAGCTTTTAGGTTTCTAAAAAAATAAAAAACAGAAGGAATAACATTAAACAAAAAAGATGACTATGACTGAATATACATATTCTTATTACTTTAGTCGTGTGTGTGTGTGTGTATATATATATATACACACACAGAAGGTGAGAAAAAAACTAATGGATGAATTCATTCTTGGTTTGTGGAAATTATATTAATTGCAGTCACACTACATTTCATAATGCTCATTAGCCAAAATAATGTACATATTAATAAAAATCTGAATAATCTATATTTCATAGGTAAGTACCTCTGAGTTTTTTTTTTTTTTTAAAGATTTATTTGAGAGGTAGAGTTACAGAGAGAGAGAGATAGAGAGAAAGGTCTTCCATGTGCTGGTTCACTTCCCAAATGGCCACAATGGGTAGAGCTGTGCGATATGAAACTAGGAGCCAGAAGCTTCCTCTGGGTCACCTACTCGGTGCAGAGGCCCCAGCACTTGGGCCATCTTCTACTGCCTTTCTAGGCCATAGCTGAGAGCTGGATCGGAAGAGGAGCAACAGGACATGAACTGGTACCCATATGAGATGCTGGCACTCAGGCAAAGGCTTAGCCTACTATGCTGTAGCGCTGGCCCCTTGAATTCTTATCACAGTTAAAAGTCCAATTACAAGTAGATTCCCCACTGCCCCCAGTAATGATGTTTGGTTAAGTGCCTAGACAAAACTAAAAACATATTCAGTAAAATACTAGAAATTTAGACTGCAGAAAATAAACTGTCAGAGGTTTAACAACTTGATATCAAACATTTTAAAAATTATAAATATTTCTGGATAGAAATTATTACTTATGTTTTAGTTTTATAAAAAAGTAGGCCAAATAAAATTCATTCTTTTCTGAAAGATTCATTGATAATCAATTATTAAATCGTTACTTCAAGTGTTATCAAAGTTTATTTGTAAGTAAATATGACCATTCTTTCTGAATTCACGTATCTGGTTTTAAAGGTATTTCTGTCTCTTCTCACATTGTTAGGTTGACACATTTCAATGTTCAGTATTTTTTTATTTTTAGAGTTCTTTTAATCTTATTTTTATTTACTTGAAAGGCAAAGCAACAGAGATCTCCCATCTGTAGGTTCATTCCCTAAATGCTTTTAAGAGCAGGTACTAGACCAGGCTGAAGTCAAGAGTTAAGAATTCCATCCATCTCCCACATGGGTTGCAGGGATTCAACTGCTGCTGGTGTGCATTAGCAGAAAACAGGATCAGAAGTGGAGGTGGGACTGGATCCCAGGCACTCTGACATGAGATGTGGGCCTCCTAAGCAGTGGCTTAAACTGGCTATGCCACAATGCCCACTCCCTGTCAAGTGTTCTTAGTATACCAACAAACCAGAAACTTTGTTAGAATTCAGTAAAAATAAGAAACAGGCCTTTATAATTCTTCTATAAGTAAAATACACAAATTTAAGTGACAATTTTTTTTTTTTTTTGACAGGCAGAGTGGACAGTGAGAGAGACAGAGAGAAAGGTCTTCCTTTGCCGTTGGTTCACCCTCCAATGGCCGCAGCGGCCGGCGCGCCGTGGCCGGCGCACCGCGCTGATCCGATGGCAGGAGCCAGGAGCCAGGTGCTTTTCCTGGTCTCCCATGGGGTGCAGGGCCCAAGCACCTGGGCCATCCTCCACTGCACTCTCTGGCCACAGCAGAGAGCTGGCCTGGAAGAGGGGCAACCAGGACAGAATCCGGCGCCCCGACCGGGACTAGAACCCGGTGTGCCGGCGCCGCTAGGCGGAGGATTAGCCTAGTGAGCCGCGGCGCCGGTGTGATAAAATTTTTTGTCCTGTTTTAACATTCTGTCACTTGGTTCTTTATATTTAGATAAGTTAAGACAATTAACTATGTCATCTGATTTACTGTTTGGTCATTATATTACTAACCTTAGTTTACTAAGACTGTTAATGAGTTATTGAACAATAAATGGAGAAAAAAACATTTCTAAAGTAAAAGTAAATTTGCTTGACTCAAACTACCTATTTTGCTGACTTAATATGAGTATTGTGGGGGTCGGCACTATGACACCATAGGTAAAGCCTCCGCCAGTGGCACAACGTCCCCTACGGGTGCCAGTTTGTGTCCCGTCTGTTCTACTTCTGATCCAGCTCCCTGCTAATGTGCCTGGGAAAGCCACAGAGGATGGCCCAACCGCTTGGGCCCCTGCACCCTCGTGGGAGACCCAGAAGTAGCTCCTGGCTTTGGATAGCCCCAGCTCCGGCCATTGCGGCCATTTAGAGAGTGAACCAGCAGATGGAGGACTTCTCTCTGTGTCTGTAACTTCACCTCTCAATTAAACAAATAAATCTTAAAAAAAAAAAAAAAGTATTTTGAACTCTGAAGATTAGGAAAAAGTCTTCTTTATTATAGAAAGTATGTTAAATGATTAAACAAGATCAAAAGAGCACAGAAATTCTAAATGTTCATCTGTTTTGTAACAAAGATCTTTCCTAATCAAAAAACTGTAAAATTTGTCATGTGCCAAAACTTCAAATTAGAAAATCTGCTTCTATATATTTATCTTCTAAGATTAAATATGTAAAAATACCTTGGTGATTATAAAATGAAAAACCTTGCTCATGTTCACGATTTAGCCTGTAAGACCCAAAATGAATGCAAACATCAAGTTTATATTAAAATATAATTTCGTATTTTTCTCTTTTGTCATTCACATTATCTGGTAATCTGAAAGATTCTAATAAAATAAAGATTGTATATTCTTGCTCAATCACCTTTCTATTTTTAAAAAGAAAACCCTCCTCTTTTTTGAATAACATGATGCGTAATTTGACTTTGAAACAAAACAGCAACATACCTGTATGTGGTAAGGACGAAATAGGAACTGCCTATTTAAATTGGATTTTTCTATCAAGTCAGGATCAGTAACTGTGACCTAATTGCAAGAAGAGAAAATGGATGAGATTATGTAACAAACTTTAACTTACTTTTCAGTATGATACAAAAAGAATCCCCCTCCAATTACTCTAAATTATTTTAGATGGTAAAGGTAGTAAGATAATTATTCCAAAATGGTTACCAACTCTGCTCTTTTGAACTTAGATGTCATTGTAATTAATGTTTAACAGAGGAGTATCTCAAACAATAGTGGAACCTGATTGCAATTCCTGTTTAAGCTCTTTTCTTAATTGTTTATAACACAACGGAGGCTGAAAACATTACCATCACATTTGAGAACTATGAAATTTCAGTTAGCCTGTAGAGGAGCCAGCCCTTCTTTTGAAACTTACAGCATATCTACCACTCATTTGGGAAAAATGCTTACATGTTTCAATTGGCAAGAAACTTTAGGTAAAGGAGGGCTCTACAAAGTACAGGGCAGGCTGCCTGTTTCCTCAAGTAGAGTTCTACTGGAACACTATGTCATCATTTGTCTAAGTACTGACTACTCTGTTTTTATGATTTAAAGCAGAGCTGTGTACTTGTTAACAGAGATTTATGGTCTGCAAGCCTAAAATATTTATAATCTGGTCCTTTAAGAAAGTTTGCAGACTTCCATTCTAAAGAGAGGGAGAAGAAAGTACCCAGACTGAAGACATTCTGAAAAATGTTCAAATATCCCGGCCACTTAGCTAGTATTTTTAAGTAAGATTTTCCTAGGAGCAGCATTTCTCAGACTGTGTTCTAGTTTTTAAATGTTGACTGATATACACAAACATATTCATCTTCTATTAGCTTGAATTTCCTTGATACTTTCAATATTTCTGAATATATTATTTTATTTTAACAAGGAAGAAAACAAATAGAAAACCTTTTTAAACAAAAAGCTTAATTCACAACTGTTGTTGATTATCAATATAAGGCTGTTTCATTTCCCTCAACACCACTGTTTATCTCCAACCTTTCTCCCTGCAGTTTTGCCTTCTATTGAACTAACCAAGATCTCTTGATTTCTACTCCATCCTTACTCCCAAACTAGTTTGGAAATCACTCATGTATTTTTTTACATGGGTATGCTTAAAATGTAAACATGCAGATTTGGGTTAGGATCTAAAATTAAATCTCTATGCTTATCATGAAGTATGTGAGGAATCTGAGCTATTTAATTTGGATGTCTCTTTTTGACTTTCCAGGCTATCAGTGAAATGTTAATTAGTTTTAACCATCCCGTTCTCAAATCATTTCAATAAAACAGTCTTAAAATTAATGTTTATCTAAGAATGTGACAAATTCTCTGCTTACCCCTCATACATTGTCCACATTATCTAATAATTCTTTCATTAAGAACCAGTAAGTAAACACCTTTCATCACTTTATTTGTCAGATATCTTAAGTTTGGTCCGGTCTACTCTGAAAGTAATTTATTAACTCAGTACAGAAACCCAGATTGATAGTAAATTTTTTCTTATACTATGAAAATATTTCCATTAGCTTCTAGCATTTCTCGAGGATGAAAAGTCCATTACAAAATCTTTCTTTTCTCTTTGATGTTTGGGACTAGTTTACTTTTTTTTGACAGGCAGAGTGGACAGTGAGAGAGAGAGACAGAGAGAAAGGTCTTCCTTTGCCGTTGGTTCACCTTCCAATGGCTGCTGTGGCTGGTGCACCGTGCTGGTCCGCAGGCAGGAGTAAGGTGCTTCCACCTGGTCTCCCATGCGGGTGCAGGGCCCAAGCACTTGGGCCATCCTCCACTGCACTCCCGGGCCACAGCAGAGAGCTGGCCTGAAAGAGGGGCAACCGGGACAGAATCCGGCGCCCCGACTGGGACTAGAACCCGGTGTGCCGGCGCCGCTAGGCGGAGGATTAGCCTAGTGAGCCGCGGCGCCGGCCCTAGTTTACCTTTTCAATTTGAACACACTTGTCTTTCTTCAAGTTTGGGAATCTTTCTCATTCTCCTTGAAATAAATCCCTGTTTAATTTTTATCTTCATTCTCTCTGGAAATTCTACTAGACTTGGGAAGATACTTCAAAAGTTTGTGGAAGAGAGGGTGTTTAGCCTAGCCATTAAGAAGTCTCTGATCTCCATCACAGTACCTGAGTTCAATACCTGGCACTGGCTCCCGAGTCCAGCTTCCTATTAGTACAGACCCTGGGAGGCAGCAGTACTGACTCAAGTAGCTTGGTTCCTGCTATCCACAGGGGAGGCCCAGATTAAAATCCCAGCCCTGGCCATTGTGGGCATTTGGAGAAAACTAGTGGATAGGAATCGTCTCATTGCCATATACCCACACCCACACCACACAAAAGGTAAATTTTGATGCAAAAAATAAAACTGAAATCCACACGTAGTTAGCTTTTTGAAAACCCTTTGTATAGATGGATTTTGAATTTTTTTGCACCAAAATAGCCATCATTTTAATTCCATTTTTCATGAACTTCTTAAAGTACTCTGGTATACTGAACCCTATAAATGTATCCCCTATCATTCAAAAAAGTTATCTACTGTTAGAGTTTGTGTAATACTGAGTGTCCCCAAGGGTCCATGTATTGAAACTTGATGCCCACAGTCTTGTTAATGGATTCACATTAATTGTTAATGGATTAAGGATGCAGACCTGATTCAATTATGAAGTGGGTCTAGTGAGAGGTCCTTGGGTCACTGGGGACATGCCCTCCAAAGGCAATTCTCACGAGAGGTCTGGTTAAAGTAGGCCTCGTCTGGCCCTACTCGTTCTCTCTGTGCTTCCTGGTTGTCATGCTTCCTTTGTGCACATTCCATCATCCATTGCCCTCATCAGACATCAGAATAATAGGGCCATCCGATCTTGGGCTATGAAGTTCCAAAACTGTAGGCGGAAATAAATTTTCCTTCCTAAGAAGCTTTTCTCAGGTATTTTATAGTTTTAGTGAAGAAAAGCTGACTAATACGTCTACATTCTGGGTACTCACACAGTTATATCTGAATTTTAAGTTTATCAATCTTTTTTTTTTTTTTTTTTACAGTCAGAGTGGACAGTGAGAGAGAGAGACAGAGAGAAAGGTCTTCCTTTGCCGTTGGTTCACCCTCCAATGGCCGCCGCAGCCAGCGCACTGTGGCCAGTGCACCGCACTGATCCGATGGGAGGAGCCAGGTGCTTCTCCTGGTCTCTCATGGGGTTCAGGGCCCAAGCACTTGGGCCATCCTCCACTGCACTCCCTGGCCACAGCAGAGAGCTGGCCTGGAAGAGGGGCAACCGGGACAGAATCCCGACGGGGACTAGAACCCGGTGTGCCGGTGCCGCAAGGCGAAGGATTAGCCTAGTGAGCCACGGCGCTGGCCTAAGTTTATCAATCTTACAGAAACTCTTATTTGGCTTTTTGCAAAAACTTCAGTGCCCTTCCCCTCCTATTTCTATTCCTTTTTATCATTGATTATAGTCCTGTGGGCTCTGGTTATATATCATCAAGATGCAGTTTTACATTTGCTTTAGTCAGAGCCCTGGAGATTTCAACAATTCTAAATTTGTTCTATTTATTTTTTTGCTTAAGGTTTTTACACTATATAATTTTAAACTCCATGTATCAGAATGCTCTGAGTTTCAATTCTGCATGACTGACTTCCCTTTCTAATCAAGATTTTGGACATTTAAAATAGGAATACTTGTGAGTCACTATGATTTTCAGACCAGGACTTAATTTTTCATTTGATTCCTAGAACTTGGAGATTTTGCTGTGACATTTGGCTACATATACAAACATCAACAAAAAAATTTTTTTAAAGTTTTTGGTCTTTCATCCTTACAGTTCTTTTCCTGACCTTTATACTCTGACATGCATTGTAAATTTCCAAGGAGTTAATTCAGACGATCCCTAAACTTACGTAACCAAGAAATTTTTTTCTTTTAGGAATACCTTTTAAAATCACTAGAACCAACAGCAATTTATGGAACAAAATTTAAGAAATGCTAAGCAAGTACAGGATGAATGTAGAACATTTGCCTATAATTATAATAATAATGAATTCTCCCTTTGAAATGGAACAATAAGCTAAGTTTAATTGTAAAATGTGAACTATTGTATACATTTTGGTCATTTAGTTGGGCATTTTGTTAGTCTCCATGATAAATCCAAGTAATCACCAATGGAAGCTAGTTTACATCTTAAAAATCAAAACACCACCAATGAAATCTATTGTTATTTAAAATATGAACAGTTTTGCAACCAACTTTATTTATAACTTTAAAAATTTTTTTTAAGATTTTTATTTATTTATTTGACAGGCAGAGTTACAGACAGTGTGAGAGAGAGAGAGAGACAGAGAGAAAGGTCTTCCCTCCATTGGTTCACTCCCCAGTGGCCGCAACACTGGGAGATGCGCTGATCCGAAGCCAGAAGCCAGGTGATTCCCCCTGGTCTCCCATGCGGGTGCAGGGGCCCAAGCACTTGGACCATCCTCCACTGTTTTCCCAGGCCACAGCAGAGAGCTGGACTGGAAGAGGAGCAATGGGGACTAGAACCAGTGCCCATATGGGATGCCGGTGCCACAGGTGGAGGATCAACCTAGTGCGCCATGGCGCTGGCCCCTTATAACTTTAAGAATTTAAACTATATACTCAAGTTTACATTATTTCCACCAATTTTGATACTCATCAATTAAAAGTACACCTGAGTACTCAATAATTTTCTAGGTTGGCTTCTTTCGTTTCTTTCATCTTAATGATTTACTTAACAATTACTAAATAGTATCTAATAGAAAAACAATGTGTTTTATAGTTTGCAAAAACTATTTCATACTTTATAATAACCCCTTGAGAGAAGTAGTACAGATTTCACTTGCACAGTATTAGAGAAAGGAACTGAGGAACAGATAATTAAAGTAATTTGCCACAATGTTATAAAACCTGAAAAGTTTTCAGAACAGAATCTTACAGATTCTAGTTTATACTCTATCCTTAAAATGTTATACTGTTAATCTATGCAGACAAATACATTTCAAAAAAGGGCAATAACAGAAATATTAACTTGTAACTTTCAAAGATTTCCATCTTACCATTCCTTTCTCTTTGCTTGTGCCAACACCAAGTAAAGCAAAATTTTTCAACATTTCACAGCCTATGGCTCCACATCCTACCTATGGAAAAAAATTGATATGTATCAGATTAAATAAAACCAGAACACCCATTTGCTGAAGAGTAATTTCACTTTAATTTTCACTAAATGTTAAGCTATAATAAAAAATACATACTTTTTAAAAATTAGCTTGCCCAGTTGTGACTTATTTTACTTTAAAACAATAGGTTAATTCTGTTCTAAGTATCTCAAAGAAAAAAAGTACAAATCAAACAAGAAAAGTAATATTTACAATTGCTTTGGATAAAAGACACTTAAAATTTTAAATTTAAAAAGCTAAACATTCAGTTTAATTATTACATATAACAGACACAAACAGCAAAAAACATTAGTGTATCAATGAAGAAAGATTTCTCATTTTTAGATTTCTCAGAACTCATTTAATGACCAGAACTAATCCACAATCTGCTTCCTATCAGTTTTTAGTAAAAACGGATAATAGGGGCCGGTGCTATGATGCAGTAAGTTAATCTTCCGCTCCCAGTGCTGGCATCCCATATGGGTGCTGGTTCTAGTCCCAGCTACTTCTCTTCCAATCCAGCTCTCTGCTATGGCTTGGGAAAGCAGTGGAAGATGGCCCAAGTGCTTGGGCCCCTGCACTCGTGTGGGAGACTTCAAAGAAGCTCCTTGCTCCTGCCTTCGGATTGGCCCAGCTTCGGCCATTGTGCCCATTTGGGGAGTGAACCAGTGGATGGAAGACCTTTCTCTCTGTCTCTTCCTCTGTCTGTAACTCTACCTCTCAAATAAATAAAAACAAAAACAAAAACAAAAGATAATAAAAAGCTAACAGTAGATTCTATATCGATGTAAAAATTCAGCAATAGCTGATTTTCAAATAATTATTAAAAAATGATTAGTAAAAAAAAATCAGAGGTGCCTTCAGGACTGATTTATATTAATAGTACAAAAACATAAGAGGCCAGGTAAAGGAGTTTTATGTTACTGAAGACATCTCCTTACAGTGCTCCCTGTCATTTAAAAAAGAATACATCTAAACATATATACATTTTATACACACACACATACACACACACACACACACATAAGATTTATTTATTTCAAAGTCAGAGTTAGAGAAAGAAAGAGAGAGATCTTCCATCTGCTGGTTTACTCCCCAGATGGCCACAACTGATAGGGTTCAGCCAGACCAGAGCCAGAAGTCAGGAGCTTCATCTGGGTCCCCATATGGCAGAACCCAAACACTTGGGCCATCTTCCACTGCTTTTCCCAGAAAATTAGCAGGGAGCTGGATCATAAGTGGAGAGCTGGGACATAAACTGGAGCCCATAAAGGATGAAGGCATCACAAGTGGTGGTTTTATCAACCACATCACAATGCTGGCCCACAAATCCTCAATTTTTAATGTATTTCTGGAAAACCATTTAATGTTCAAAATTCTTACACTCAAATTTTAATTATAAGTGCTTTAATTCTTTAGAACAGAAGTTGGCAAAGGTTTCTTTAAAGGGCCAGCTTTTCAGACCACATAGTCTGGCCTCTGTTGCATCTATTCATTTAGACTCTTCTCCTTTAGGCTCACATATACTTCAATAAATTAACTTGGGGTCCAGCCTGGTGGCACAATGCGTTAAGCTGCCACTTGCGATGCTGGCATCCCATAAGGATGCCGGTTTTGAGTCCTGGTTGCTCCACTTCTGATCCAGCTCCCTGCTAATGCACGTGGGAAACTAGTGAAAGAAGGTCCAAGTCCTCAGGCCTCTGCACTCATGTGGGAGGTCCACATGGAAGCTCCTGTCTCCTGGCTTCAGCCTGGCCCAGCCCTACCGGTTGCAGCCATTTGGGGAGTTCTGAAACAGCAGATGGAAGATCTCTATCTCTCCCCACCCTTCTACCCCCATAACTCTGCCTTTCAGATAAACAGCTTTTTTAAAATCTTTCTTAAAAAGATTTATTTATTGATTTGAAAGGCAGAGGCAGAGAGAGAGATAGAGAAATCTTCCATCTGTTGGTTTACTCCCTAGATGGCTGCAATGGATGGAGCTGTGCTGATCCGCAGGCAGGAGCCAGGTCTCCCATGCAGGTGAGGGGTCCAAGGACTTGGGTCATCTTCCATGGCTTTCACAGGCCTTAGCAGAGAGCTGGATTAGAAATGGAGTCCAAGTGAGATGCCGGCACCGCATGTGGTGGTTTTACCAGCCACGCCACAGTGCTGGCCCTTCAAATAAATACAATTTTTTTTTTTTTAAAGATTTATTTATTTATTTGAAAGTCAGAGTTACACAGAGAGAGGAGAGGCAGATGGCTGCAATGGCTGGAGCTGTGCCGATCCGAAGCCAGGAGCCAGGAGTTTCTTCTGGGTTGCCTATGCGGGCACAGGGGCCCAAGGACTTGGGCCATCCTCTACTACTTTCCCAGGCCATAGCAGAGAGTTGGATTGGAAGTGGAGCAGCTGGGACTAGAACTGGCGCCCATATGGGGTGCCAGCACTTTAGCCCAGGGCATTAATCCATTGCGCCACAGAGCCAGCCCCAAATAAATACAACTTTTAAAAATAAATAAATACATTTGACAATATACATTAGCAGTTTGAATATACTACTTATTCCCATCATTATTCATACTTACTAAGAAGATATTCAAATTTTGTAGCTTCTGACACAAAGTGTTTCCAATGCACGCTCTTAAGGCATCATACCTATCTCCTCTGAAGAAAACAACACATACCAATAAAACAAAAAGGCACAAAAAATTTTAAAATTATTACTGTCAATATACCAACTTCCCTGAAACCTATCACATGAGCCTACTTATTGGAAAGACCATGAAAAAGACATCAGTTTTTCCTTTTACCATTTGACTTACTATAAATCCAAATAATTTAAATGAAGGTGATTTTGGTTTACAGAACTCATCTTTTCTGATGGGGACACAACCTAAGAACCCCAGCAGATGCCTGAATCCACAAAAACTAATGAACCCTACAATTAAATGTCTTTACATTTTAACTAAGCATTTATCACACATTGTAGCCTTAATTTTTCCAGTTTGAGATGTGATAGCAAAACTTCCATGAATTTCTTTTTCCTTTTTCACAATTTCCTGGGCGGTTAAGGATTGTCCCTAATGGTTTTTTATGTTCTTTCTGTTCTGTTTACTTTCTCCCAACTCAGGCAGAGTTAGACAGTGAGAGAGAGACAGAGAGAAAGGTCTTCCTTACGTTGGTTCATTCTCCAAATGGCCACTATGGCTGGCATGCTGCGCCGATCCAAAGCCAGGAGCCAGGTGCTTCCTCCTGGTCTCCCATGTGTGTACAGGGCCCAAGCACTTGGGCCATCCTCCACTGCCTTCCCGGGCCACAGCAGAGAGCTGGACTGGAAGAGGAGCAACTGGGACAGAACCGGCGCCCCGACCGGGACTAGAACCCAGAGTACTGGCACTGCAGGCAGAGGAATAGCCCAGTGAGCCGCGGCGCCGGCCTGTCCTTACTGTTGTTAACCACCTGAATATAATTTTTTTTCTTTCCAAAAGTTGAGAACTTTCACCTTTTCACTTAAAGGAGCCATTTCATAATCTCTTTGCATATCTGACTGGCCAGCTCCACCCTCTTGCACTTTGGGGTCATTACTAACTAAAATAAGGGTTACTTGATCATAAACACTGAGATACTACAACGGCTGAACTGATAAATGAGAAAGCTATCAGATGTCCAGTGAGTGTATGAGTGTGTATGCTTGCTGTACAAAGGTATGAATCATGTCCCAGGAAGAAAGAAGTGGGATGGCAAGTAATTTTATGTTACATAAAATGTGCAATTTGAAACATATGAATTATATATTTCTGAAATATTCTATTCAATATTTTCAGACCACGGTGATCACAGTAACTGAAACCATGGAAAAGTGAAACCAAGTAATGGAAGAATATTGTATTCCCCCCAAAACTTTGTTTATGCCTGGATTTTTTTTAAGACATTAATCAGATTTTGTAGGTTTTTAAGTATTTTATTTTTACTTTAAATTAGAAAGGGAGAGCCAGAGGGAGAGGGAGAGGGAGGGGAAAAAAGGGTATGGGAAGTGGAGGAGGGAGAGAGAGAAATTTCTCATCTGTTGATTAATTTCCTAAATCTCCCCTCCCCTTTATTTATTTGATAGGCAGAGTTATAGACAGAGAGAAAGGTCTTCCTTCCGTTGGTTCACCCCACAAATGGCCGCTATGGCCGGCGCTGCGCCGATCTGAAGCCAGGAGCCAGGTGATTCTTTCTGGTCTCCCATGTGGGTGCAGTGCCCAAGCACTTGGGCCATCCTCCACTGCCTTCCTGGGCCACAGCAGAGAGCTGGACTGGAAGAGGAGCAACTGGGACTAGAACCCAGCGCCCATATGGGATGCCGGTGACACAGGTAGAGGATTAACCAAGTGAACCACAGTGCCGGCCCCCTAAATGCCCTTAATAGCTGGCACTGGGCCAGGCTAAAGCCAAGAGCCTGGAACTCAATCTGGGTCAGTCTCCCGTGTGGCTGGCAGGGACCAAACCACTAGGTCCATCACCTGATATTTCCCAGAGTGTGCAGGAAGTAGATCCACAGTAGAGTTGGGACTTGAACCCAATTACTTTACTATGTGATGTGGGAGTTCCAAGAAGTGTCTTAATTGCTAAACCAAACACTTGCCCCTAAGCCACAGCTTTTTTTCTTCTTTTTTTTGACAGGCAGAGTTAGACAGTGAGAGAGAGACAGAAAGAAACGTCTTCCTTTTTCTGTTGGTTCACCCCCTAAGTGACCGCTAAGGCTGGGGCGCTGCGGTGCTTCCTCCTGGTCTCCCATGCGGGTGCAGGGCCCAAGCACTTGGGCCATCCTCCACTGCACTCCCAGGCCACAGCAGAGAGCTGGACTGGAAGAGGAGCAGCCGGGACAGAATCCGGCACCCCAACTGGGACTAGAACCCGGGGTGCCAGCGCCGCAGGCGGAGGATAAGCCTAATGAGCTACGGCGATGGCCAACCCACAGCTTTTAAAGAAAGTTCTCAGAGGAATCTATGGGTGGGCTTTGGGGTTAACTCACTTAAAATGAAGGCAGAACTTTGAATTGTGTATTTTAGGGAAAATGAATCTCTAAATTTTTGTCTGATTCTCAGAGATTTATAATCCAAAAAGGTAAAGATGACTAATGCAATTAAAGATTGTAAATGGCCGGCGCCGTGGCTCACTAGGCTAATCCTCCACCTTGCGGCGCCGGCACACCGGGTTCTAGTCCCGGTTGGGGCGCCGGATTCTGTCCCAGTTGCTCCTCTTCCAGGCCAGCTCTCTGCTGTGGCCAGGGAGTGCAGTGGAGGATGGCCCAAGTACTTGGGCCCTGCACCCGCATGGAAGACCAGGATAAGTACCTGGCTCCTGCCATCGGATCAGCGCGGCGCGCCGGCCGCAGCGGCCATTGGAGGGTGAACCAACGGCAAAGGAAGACCTTTCTCTCTGTCTCTCTCTCTCACTGTCCACTCTGCCTGTCAAAAAAAAAAAAAATTAAAAAAAAATTGTAAATAACATTTTTTCATTTAATATATATTTTGAATGCTAATCATTCTCATAACATATAATTTAAACTTTATTATTTATAAAATGTTAAGAGACAAGGCATTAATATGAACCCAAGAAAATAAGGAGGGACTGCAGAAGTAAATGATATAGGAGAAGACACGTTTAAAACAAATTCATGTTTAGACAAAAATATTTTAATCTATTTTTTTCTTGTTAACAACAATTAAGAAATAGCAAAGAAATGTCAGTATTACCGTGGAAGAAATTCTTCACATTCAGGTCTGTCTAGGGATTCGACAATATCTGCTGCCTCTAGATATAACTTAAAGAAGATTAAAAATACAAAGAAAATTAAAATTATAAAGAATTTATATAAAGAAAATTAAAAATATAATTTACTATGCACATAACTTAAATTACTGGAAAAAGAAATTATTCTATAGCTATTTAAGGATCAATAAGCTAAAAATCATTAAAAATGACAATTCAGCATAATACATTAAAGAATGTAATTTTTTACAACATACATTATTTTTCAGTTCATGGAAAATGGAATTAAAAGTTAATTTTGGTACAAAAATTTTGAAAGTCATGCATACAAGGATCTTCAAAAATTCAACTGAAAATGAACATTATGTAAAAACTGTGCATGGATTCTTTCATTCAAAGAATACTAAACATGAAGGAACTGTTCAAAGATGTATAGTATCATTTATATCATGAAGTTATCCTAAAAGGGAATTTCATTCACCAACAAATCTATTTTTCATAGCTACATAAAAAACTGGCAGCCCCTTTCAAATTCAGTTATATTTAAGGAAGTAATTTGATTACTTTTAAAGAAGAAAATACCGAGACACTGATCAAGTAGCATTTATTTTCCAGCTTGAATATATCATATGTCATCTATAATTATATACACCATAAAGGAAAGCCACAATTTCAGCATATTTAAAAATACCATCATAATTAGCTTAAGCTAATGAAAAACAGAACTAAGTTTTACTTTCATTTCCATCTAAGTAATTTGTATGGCTAAATTTGAACATGGTAAAATGGATATTTATTTAATTATTATAGCAAAGAATCTTTGTACTTTTTCACATTATGTTAACAGGTGCTTTCAAAGCAGACTTTTACTACTCATCTTATAGTTTATCATAAAATAAATAAATTCAACAGCAAGTCAGCATTATATGGATACTTCTTAAAATGTAAAAATAGATGAATTTTATACTCAAAATATTTCACATGTTTCAAAAAAGAAATGGCTGTCGTATGGAGTTTTCATTCCACATTGTGATGTTTTTACTTTATACTTATCTCAAAGGCCCTGAGAGCTATCTATAATGATAGAAAATTCATCTGCTTACTCTCTCAGCTGAGGGAAATGCATCCAAAAAGACAACTTTGGGTTATACTCCAACAATCCCAACATATGATCTTATCTGTTTCAATTACAGCATTGAATTCTGTACTACTCACATCTCTCTCATGCATGAAAGATATTTTAAGACTGTTTTCCTAGTATATAATAATATATTATAATACCTACACACATTCATTTTATGGGTAAAGAATGTAAACAAATAGTAAAATTGAGAACTAACCCACTGGCACAAAGGAGAAAACTTCCCTGTCACAGCTTTCAAAACTTCTTGGCTGGCAACACCTCCTACAGCTGCAGCAAGTGGGGACAAAAACCCTCGAGCAGTCCAAGACAGCCAACGGACAATGTCAACATTTATGTCAGGCTGAAACACAAGCCATGAGAGACAATAACATTAATAGTATTTCTTTAGCACCTATACATAGTGTACAGAATTACCAGAACTTAACTTTTAAAAAGTTAATCAATTTTACTACTCAAAATAATTTTAAGCCCTAAAAATGTCCCAATCTCATGCTAAAAGATTCATTTGCATGTTATTTGAACCAGTGTTTTCTTGACCAATACCTGCTCATTTTTGCTTTCTGACTATTACCCTTTGACATCATTTAGTGTTATATGAATACCTACCATTCATAGTTTTTGTTAAAGAACAGGTCTATGACACCAGTCATATTTACAAATAATCAGATTTTTTTTAATTTTTATTTTATTATTTTTTTTGACAGGCAGAGTGGACAGTGAGAGAGACAGAGAGAAAGGTCTTCTTTTGCCGTTGGTTCACCCTCCAATGGCCGCCGCGGCTGGCGCGCTGCAGCAGGCGCACCACACTGATCCGCAGGCAGGAGCCAGGTGCTTCTCCTGGTCTCCCATGCGGGTGCAGGGCCCAAGTACATGGGCCATCCTCCACAGCACTCCCTGGCCACAGCAGAGAGCTGGCCTGGAAGAGGGGCAACCGGGACAGAATCCAGCGCCCCAATCAGGACTAGAACCCGGTGCGCCGGCGCCACAAGGTGGAGGATTAGCCTAGTGAGCCGCAGCGCCGGCAAATAATCAGATATTTTTAAAAAGTATATTAATGGAAACTATGGAAAGACTTTAAACCTAAATGCATGAAAATAAAATTTATTAGTATTTTAAAGAAAATATTAGAAAAGTAAATTTTTTTTTGACAGGCAGAGTGGACAGTGAGAGAGAGAGACAGAGAGAGAAAGGTCTTCCTTTGCCGTTGGTTCACCCTCCAATGGCCGCCGCTGCAGCCGGCGCACCGCACTGATCCGATGGCAGGAGCCAGGAGCCAGGTGCTTTTCCTGGTCTCCCATGGGGTGCAGGGCCCAAGCACCTGGGCCATCCTCCACTGCACTCCCTGGCCACAGCAGAGAGCTGGCCTGGAAGAGGGGCAACCGGGACAGAATCCGGCGCCCCGACTGGGACTAGAACCCGGTGTGCCGGCGCCGCAAGGTGGAGGATTAGCCTAGTGAGCCACGGCGCTGGCTAGAAAAGTAGATTTAAAAGTTATTCTTTAGTAGTTTCTTATCTGTGACAAATCTTTTCATTCTGTCTCTTCCTATTACTTTAATATCACTTAATAATTTTCCTACTACTTTAATATCACTTAATAATTTTAGTCTTAAGCTTTGTGAGTAGGGCTCAATTAGTTTCCTGAAATTCGATGCAAAATAACAGCACTTAGTATAGGACAGTTTTTATTGTATTCTCAAAAATATCTGATAAGAAACTGGCTAATAACAACTCATGATTCCACTTCTCTATTTCAACTGAGCTCATGACCTTCAGCTATTTAGCAATACTTCAACTCTGAAGGACTATAATTGGATTTAATTGGGTCATTTTTCAATGCAGAGATATTGGTCTTAGAGATAATAAAAACAATGATGAGAATGGTAACAGAAGCAGTCAGTATGAATAAGCAGCTACTGTGCAATGCTGTATATTAAGTCCTTACATGATCTTCAAACTAATGCCAGGAAATTTATTCAGAAGTAAAAAGTGTCAGCCATAAAAAGATCGTTAACTTACTCAAGGTTTTATATCCAATAACTGATGAAGTTAGGATCTGAATCTAAAAAGTTGAACTTCATAGCTTTATTCTTACCATTAGTCATAGGTTACACCGCCTTCTAAAATCCTACAACTTTTTTTCATAAACACCCCAATCTTGGACATTTTTGGTTGCCCCAACCTCAATCTAAATTTCTATGTATAAGCTAAAAAACACGCATAGTCATAAGAGAAATAAGAGGGACAGGGCTTCACCATTATTAGGAAATAGAGAGTATCATAAATTTGAAGTTGCCTGTCCCTTATGTGAAATGCCAGGCACTGTCTCTGCAGTTGTACTTTGGTATTATGCTGGTGCTCAAGAAAGGTTCAGATTTTGTATCACTTGGATTTTAGATTTTCAGAGTAGGGATGTTCAACCTGTACTTGTAAGTATAGAACTAATACCAAATGCCAACAGAGCTATCTCTGGATTTCACAGTTCCACAGCCTGTTCACAGAGCAGGACATAGGAAGAGACCACAGAAGATAGAGTGAAAGGCCTAGTGGTGACATAGAACATTCAAAATGATCCTGGGAGAACGTCATTAAGTGAAAAAAATACTGAATACAGATATGAAATCTGGCAAATCTGGAAACTGGCTATAGTTAAAAAACTACTTTGGCAGAGAATAATCTAAGTATAAAGTGCACATGCATTTTTATGGACTTAGCCAACAACAGAGATCCACAGACACACTATGCCTCTTCAGCAACAAAATCATCCATTAAAGAAATTCCTCTTTAGAATCCTGAGAGAAAACAGTGTTATGGAAGTAGAAACCTTTAAAGCACAAGATCTTATGATGTCCAGAAAAGAACAGTCTTTTCAACAAATAGGCTAGAATGACTCTACAGTCATACAATGAAATTTAAACCTGTTTCAACAATGTACAAAAATTTACTTACAAAACTAATATAAGGGGCCAGTGCTGTGGCGCAGCGGGTAAAGCTGCCGCCTGCAGTACCAGCAACCCAGATGGGCGCCGGTTTGAATCCCGGCTGCTCCACTTCCGACCCAGCTCTCTGTATGGCTTGGGAAAGAAGCAGAAGATGGCCAAGTCCTTGGGCCCCTGCATCTGCGCAGGAGACCTGGAAGAAGTTCCTGTCTCCTGGCGTTGGATCGGTGTAGCTCCGGCCACCGCGGCATTCTGGGGAGTGAACCAGTGTATGGAAGACCTCTCTGTAACTCTGACTTTCAAACAAATACATAAATCTTTAAAAAACAAAAAAACTAACACAAAATTAGTATGGAGTTATATACACTAGATTTAAACTACATGATCATGTCTTGGTCTATTCTTTGCACAGTATACCAAAATGAGCTTGTAAAAGCATAAAATTCTAAAACTTTTTGAAGAAAAAGTAGAAGAGCTTTGTGATCTTGAGCTTTAAAAATTTCTTAAGAAAAAAATGCCAGAAGCTACAAAGAAAAATGGCAAAGTGAATGTAAAAAAATTTGTAAAACACATCCGATAAGGGACTCATATCCAAAATATGTAAAAATATGCAAAGAACTCCCCCAAAATGAGAAAACAAAAAACCTAATTAAAAACAAAGATTTGGAAGTACAGTTTATCAAAGAAGAGCTGCAATGGGTAAATAAGCACATAAAATGATGCTCAGATTCGATTAATGAAATGCAAATAAAATCGACCATGAGACACTACTATATATGTTAAAAAGACAATACAGAGCACTGGAGAGATACACAGCAATAGACATTCTCAAAACACTTCTGGTGGAAATGCAAAATGGTATAGCTACATTGTAAAAACAACTTAGTATTCATTTCTTATTAAAATTAAATACATCTAGCATGACTATAATAGGTATTTATCAAAAGTGAAAATATATGGCCACATCAAAATCTGTATGTAAATATATATAGGAGCTTGGTATATGTGTAGGAGCTTGGCATTATGGAAATGTTTATATGTGGACTACAGTGGTGGATGCTTGATTATAGACTATGATTCACTATTTAATTGTGCACACAAATTTGTATATGGGGTTTCAAAAAGTTTGTGAAAAATGAAACTAAAAGATGAATTTATTTTGGGGTAAAAATTTTGAAATCCATGCATGATGGTTTCATGACATTTTCCGTAAACTTTTTGAAGATGTTGTGTGACTGCTGTACATCTACAAAGGGTGAAATTTACTTTGTGCTATACCTCAGTAAGTCTGATAAATAACTAATCATAGCTTCTGTTTAATCAGAATAAAAGAATTCTTTTCTAGCTATCCATACATTCTTTTTCCTCTAACCATTAAATAGGCAATAAAAGGTCTTTAATTAATGAATAGTGATTCACTGCTTTGGTAAATCTATAATTTAAAGAAAATATTTATAACAGCTTTATTCATAATCACCAAAAATTGTAAGTAACTCTAATGGGCTTAAATGTCAGCTGTGTCTATAAGTGACACAGTGGTCTAGTCTGCCGCAGTTTGTAGGGATAGAAGTGTGGCTTTGAGATGAATAAGGGTTTCCCTGGGTGTTTCTTTGGTCCACCGTGAGTTCAGTGTCAGTCTCTGTGGTGATGATGATAGCCAGGCCCTTGTTGTTGGTGCTGAGGGAGACAAGAGTGGCTGCCCCCTCGTCCTCCTGACAAGAATGAGTGATGCCAGGGCTTGTGTCACCAATTGCTGTAGCTCTAGGACTGTGTGATATATACGGATGGACCATTCCTCACGTAATGCTAAGAGAACCCAGTGCGTGCTGTGCCTTAAAATACCAGCAGCCCTAGTCTTAGGACTGGCAGATCTGAATTGAATGAAGCCTGTTCCAGTACTACAGAGTGACTACAGGGTGACTATAGGAGATTTTACTCTGGAAGGTTTAAATCCAGAGAGGTGGAATGATGTAGGCTCCCTATTTCTACTGGGTAGATTTCAGTGGCACCAAACAATTTAGAACAGGTTGTTTACAGTCCTGGTGTCGCAGGGTATAGTGGGGTCATTACCCGGATTTCAGAGGCTAGGCGCAGATTTTTTTATCGGCCGTTCTTGGTGTTAGCTCCCAAAAGCTAAGGTGAATCCCCCTTGCTCCTGTATGCTGCATTGAATGTAGCTCTGGGGCTAATGCTGAGAAACCCCTGCAGTTGCAGGATGTATGAGATCTGTCCTTTACCCCTGACACTGCTCTGACTCTGACTCTGACATGACTCTGGTAGGAGCAGAGTACTGGCATGCTGTGTCACTTTTTCGCTGTTATGTATGGCATTCTGCCAGAGTTGGGAAAGGGGAAGGAAGCAAGGTAGTTTCCCTGCTCCAAGCCTTGTAGTTGCTCAAATTCTAGTCAGCCCTCCAGGTTTTAGTAAACATCAATGTGTGACTTTGGAATTCCCTCAGACAAAACTTTGAGCCGCAGAGCACGTGGTAATTTCTTCCTACTTTGATGTAAGACAACGGCTCATACTTGACCTCTGGCTGCACAGTGCCTGGCTGCAGTGATGTCTCTGTCTTGTCTTCTCTTTTCCTGTGGAGTCTTTGTTGTTTTTGTTTTTCACTTCTTCACCAAAAATTTCCATCTGTCAGCTACCTGGAAACTCAATAATGCCTTTGTTCTTTTCATATCCCAGAGCAGCTTAGTGTGGTTATAAGCTATTCAGCCATATTGCATCCATCTAATATTTGTTTGTTTTTATCATGTAAGATGTGAAATTAAAGCTTCCCCCTCATCTTTTACACAAGAACAGAAACAATAAGTCTGAGCAATTGTGCATATACTGCTATGTTGACATCTGTAAAAATGGAACTGTTGGCTGGCAGACACTGGCAGCACAACATGAAAAAACTATTTTCTAAGTTTTATATATCAATTCACAACTGATACACAAATCTGAATTAGCCAATGTGACTGTATAATGTATAAAAGAGGGGATTACAGGAAAGCTGATAACTTTATACAGTGAATTCTAGCGGGTTAAAAAATTAAATGAAAAATTAAATGAAATAGAAAGGGAAGAAAAAGAATAATACCAATCATATAACCACAGCAATGGCAAATAGCAATTACTATATGTCACACAGTACTCGAATTGCTTTACAAAAGCCAGTTATTTAATAAATCATTTAATGCTCACAAAAATGCTATGTGGTAGGCTAGTCAAATTTTATAGATTTACAAACTAAACCAAATAAAATGACACATGTTCTCTAATGTCACAGAGTCAGTAAGCAGCAAAGCTAAGAATTGAAGCAGAGAATGTTAGTATTTAGAATGTTTATATGCTACAAATGTTTTATAGCCATAACTTTGAATATTCACCTTTTCTTCCAAGGTTTCACTTATGGATGTTGCCAGTTTCAACAGCTCTTCTGAATCTTGTTGGCATCTATGATTCAAATCAAAACACCCCAATTTCAATTTTCATAAAAAGGTCATATTCAAAACTAAAATTTAAGAAACATCAAAGAATGTGGAATTTTGCCTGCAATCAGCACAGTGTTTCACTGACTTAAAGATAACTGGCTTAAGAATTTGTTTCCTCAAAGTCATGCTCACTTAAGGACATTTTATAAGTAAGATTTAGTTTTAAAAATGCAAGGCAAAAATCTTATGTATTGCTGACTGAACAGGCTAGAAGTTAAAAATAAATTTTATCATGGGTTGATAAAATAATTCTCAAATTGTTTTAAGAAGTTGTAGTTTTTACAGCTTCAAAATGAGAAATTCACATCTACTATGATTTCATTTTTACAAACCGATCTCTTCACTCCTACCATAAATACTACAGAAAATTATAATAAATGTTTAAATTTTGGTGTCTATTGGATCTGTAACTTTTACTTTTTGAAAAAAAAATCTGTTTTCTGAAATAACTGGTCTTAAAGGAAAACATTGTTTTTTAAAATTTTTGATTTATTTATTTGAAAGGCAGACAGAAGAGAGACAAGAAAAGAGAGTGAGCAAGTGCATACTCCATCTACTGGTTTACTCCTTATATACTTGTAACAGATGGGGCTAGAGATAGGAGTAGGGAGTTAAACCTGAGTATTCTAATGTGGGACTTGAGTGCTTTAATGATTGCCTTAACTTCTATGCTAAGTATCTATTCTGAAAATATTCATTTTTAAACAAAAATATTACCCAATATTTGGCTTCCGACTATAGTTCTCCTGAAACTGGTCCAAGGCAAGCATAGCTGTGTGAATCTGTAGAGGTACCTATTAAAAACATTAAAAATTGGTCAACATTTAATGAGTGCTTAATATGTACCAGACACTGTGCTAAAAACTTTTCAAATGTTTAATTCAGTCTTCAGAATAAACATATTAGCTTCTAGTATTATTTTCTCCACTTAATAGATCAGAAAACTGAAGTACAAAGAAATTAATGATTTGACTTCAAGGCCCTAAACATATATTTAAGCTAAAGCTCCAAATTTCAACTCCAGGTGGTTATGACTAGTGTTTACTAGGTTATCCAATTGAAACTTGGAGCCATACCAACTGAGCAACAATAACAAAATATTTATACAAGATCACTTAACTTATTTTTTGGTAACATTTAAAAAGTTAGAATTTTTTCCTGCTCAAAATTTTGAAAAAATGGAATTAAAAGGTAAGTTTATTTTGATACAAAAAAATTTTGAAATCCATATATAGTTTTTCTATAATATGCAATTTCCATGAGCCTTTGAAGTCCTCTTATACATTTACTGTTACAAAATTATGATACTCAGTGATTAAAAAAATCCCTGAATATATGTTTTAAGGTTGCTTCTTTTTGTAAGAAACAAATGTTATATAAAAACACATGATTCAGAAAACCATTTAATACCATGGTAAAACTATTATAATCATCTTTATCAAAACAAGAATTATAAAACTTTCCCCTATTATTCCAATTTTTTTTCATGATACAAATTCTATTTACTTCTTGGGCGTCAACTTTATATGGCCTTTATTAAAGAAACTTAATAGTAAAGTATATACATAGTTATTTAATTTTAACTAAGTAGTCATTTATCAACTTCCACTCTCCATTCTGCTACCTTTCTCAAAACTAAAGTGTTTGTTTACCTCAGGTTTGCTAAAATCTGCGATAAGGCATTTTGGATGCTTTATCTGCCTCTCCAATGGCTCCTAATTTAGAAAAAAAAATAATTTAGAGTAAGTAAATGATAACATGTTATATGTCAGTGCAGTAAAATCAATGGATCCCTGCCAAAGGTCAGAAATTGTTAAGGTTGCATTTATTATGTTTTTATAAAAATTAAAATAGTTACAATTGTCCTTTATTTTATTACATTTAACAAAAAGTGCAGTGAAACCTACTCCATATAATAAATGAGAATAACTAGTAAAGCTATTCATAGCATACCAAAAAAGTTTTAATATAAAAGCTAGCTTATTTTACTGATAATAAGTTTATCAAGGTTTGTTATATTTGACAAAGCTTGAATAGATATTAAAGTTAAAATTTTCTTTGTCGAACAAAGAACACAAAGTCAAAACAAAAATTTACAAAACAAAATCTCAAAAGAACCACTCAATATAAAATTATTTGAGGCATAAACTATCCAACTAAAAACTGGGGACAGCGCAAGAGGAAGTATGAAAAGACACATCTGACTTGTTGTACTATTTTAATTTATTGTTCTAACTTTGGCTTGAACAAAGCCTTTTGTAGAGTTGCTAATACATCTGAAAAAGAAAAGGCAATCAAACCAAAACCTTGAGAACTTGCAAGTACAAACAGGATGTGTTAGCTCACAAAATACTCAGAAGTGGCCTAAGGATTTAAGCACTACGTCTCTTATACCTGACATTGTCTCCATAATCTTTCTTTTTTTAAAAGAATTATTTTATTTAATTGAAAGACAGAGTTACATGAGAGGTAGAGCCAGATAGAGAGAGGTCTTCCATTTAATACCATGGTAAAATTATTATAATCATCTTTATCAAAACAAGAGAATTATAAAACTTTCCCCTATTATTCCAATTTTTTTTTCATGATACAAATTCTATTTATTTCTTGGGAGTCAACTTTATATGGCCTTTATTAAAAAAACTTAATGGTAAAGTATATACATATTTATATAGTTCACTCCCCAAATGATTGCCAACGGTCAGAGCTGAACTGATCTGAAACCAGGAGACAGGAGTTTCTTTGGGGTCTCCTGTGTGGGTGCAAGGGCCCAAGGAGTTGGGCCATCTTCTACTACTTTCCCAGTCCTTACCAGAGAGCTTAATCGGAAGAGGAGCATCCGGGACTCGAACTGGCACCCATATGGGATGCCTGCTCTGCAGGCCAGGGCTTTAACCCATGGCACCACAGTGCTGGCCCCATCCATAATCTATTCAGCTACTTATATTTTCCTTAAAATGCCAGGATTTATACAAATTATTTTATATTTTCACATTCACTGTTCTATGAAATGTGAAAGATTGAAATTTGAGAATCTGGATTTACAGGTATAAAAATTTCTCTTTTATTCCAAAAGTAACTGAATTATAAAGCAAAACAAACCTTTCTAAATCTTCTAAATGTATATTAATTTTATCTCTTGGGAAAAACATTAAGAGTAATCGACTCTGATGATTTAGGGAGATAAATAGCTCCTTTTTGGTATACTCACATACCTCAAGTATCTGTACATGGTATTTTAACTAAAGAAGACTTATAAATTGTTTCATAGATATCAGTTGATTGCCTTAAATTCCACTTTCCTCAAAGTGGTTGCAAGTTAAAAATAAATCTGTCAGTCTTTAAATTAACAGGTTGTTTATATCATTATTCTTTTCTCCATTGCCATTTTTTCTGTAAACAAATATTATTAAGTCAATAAAAAATACTTACAAAGTAAAACATTTTAGGAGTTTTCACTTGGACAGCTATGCCACCATGTAAATATGGTTCTAGTTCTGTAGTGTCACAAATGCTAAAAGAAAATGGTGATACCACTGGAAAAAAAAAATGTCATTAAGCAAAGATACAGATATTCAAAATTGAAGATTTATTGTTGTAAAGATTCTAATTTTCCCTAATTTACAAAACTCAGAAAATTCTAGCATTTTTTTCTTTTATTAGAGGAGATCAGAATGTGGAAAGCTGGGCAGTATTTCTTGCAACATCAACTGTAAGACTTAAAAATATCCAAGAAAATTCAAGAGAAAAAAAGAGTGCTGAGAGGTGCTAATTGTTAGAAATTCAAATTCATTTACATTAATTATATTTAATAATTAATATAGTATAGTACTGGCTCATGAGTAGACATATGGAACAGGGAATTCAGAAACAGAGCCAAGTACACAAGGGAACAATAAAGGTGGTAACTCAAACAATGAGGAAAGACAAATTATCCAATAAATCTTGGGGAGAAAAAGCCATTGGAGAAAATAATCTACATAGATAATAGTTTAAATGCTAAAAAAAAAGATGCCAAAAACTTTTTAGATAAAAAACACAGGAGAAAAATTCCTTTAACACTTTGGCAGGAGGAAGGGTTTTCTAAGTAACACTGAAAATAAAAGCCATGAAATTGAAAATTTTAATTAAATAAAATTATATGATCCAAACAGATCATGAGCAAAATCAAAAGATAAATGTCAAGTTGGAAAATTACATGCAATTTACATTTAAAAAACTGGCAAACATGTTTTAAATATGAGAACTTCCTAGAAGTAGTTAAGAAAAGGATCAGCAGCTCAACAGGAAAATGGAAAGGATGAAAGGTTCAACATTAAAGAAAATAAATTGCTATGAAACTTTAATTTCATTCATAATGAAAAATGCAAATTATAATTATACTGATAATATTTTCACCCATACCATGAAGTATAAAGTAGTCATTAAAAAAATGCTCTGCAACTACAGATGTGAAAAGATCACCAAGAACTAATATCATCAAAATGTCCATACTACCCAAAGCAATTTACAGATTCAATGTGATCCCAATCAAAATACCAATGACATTCTTCTCAGATCTAGAAAAAATGACACAAAAACAAAGCCAGAGGCATCAAGATATCAGATTTCCAACATACAGTGCCAGGAAAATTAGATCTTCACGTGCAGAAGTATGAAGTAAGATTCCTTCCTTACATCTCATACAAAAAGCAACTCTAATTGTATTGAAGATCTAAATCTATGACTTGACATCATCAAATTACAAGAGGAAAATACTGGGGAAACCCTGCAAGATACTGGCATAGACAAAGACTTCTTGGAAAAGACCTCAGAAGCATAGCCAATAAAACCAAAATTGGACGAATGGGTTACATCAAGCTGAGAAACTTCTGCATTGCAAAGGAAGTACTCAACAAAGTGAAGAGGCAACCAATGGAATGGGAGAAATATTTGCAAACTATGTAACTGATAAAGGATTAATATCCACAATATATAAAGAGCTCAAGAAACTTAACAACAAAGCAAACAACCCAATTAAGAAATGGGTAAGGCCGGCGCCGCGGCTCACTAGGCTAATCCTCTGCCTTGCGGCGCCGGCACACGGGGTTCTAGTCCCGGTCGGGGCACCGGATTCTGTCCCGGTTGCCCCTCTTCCAGGCCAACTCTCTGCTGTGGCCAGGGAGTGCAGTGGAGGATGGCCCAAGTCCTTGGGCCCTGCACCCCATGGGAGACCAGGAAAAGCACCTGGCTCCTGGCTCCTGCCATCGGATCAGCGCGGTGCGCCGGCTGCAGCGCGCCGGCCGCAGCGGCCATTGGAGGGTGAACCAACGGCAAAGGAAGACCTTTCTCTCTGTCTTTCTCTCTCACTGTCCACTCTGCCTGTCAAAAAAAAAAAAAAGAAAAAAAAAAAGAAAGAAAGAAATGGGTAAAGGACATGAACAGTCATTTTTCAAAAGCTGAAATTCAAATGACACATGAAAAGATACTTAGACTCACTAGTCATCAGGGAAATGCAAATAAAAATCACAAGGATGTTGAAGTGGAATGGACACTATGGGAAACGGTGACTTGATCAGCATAGCCCTGTTAATGAACAACTTAATACATTATCCCTCTTAGTAGTTTTTTTGTCTGTTCTACTTAATATGACTGGTTTAATTCTGTAGTTAATACACAGTTATTCTTAAGTGTTGAAAAAAAAAATCACAAGGAGAGTTCACCTCACCCCAGTTAAAACAGCTCTCATACAGAAATCAAAAAACAATAAATGTTAGCAAGAATGTGGGAAAAAGGTACCCTAATCCACTGCTGGTAGGAATGTAAACTAGTACAACTATTATGGAAGACAGAATGTATATTCCTCAAAAAGCTGAAAACATATCTACCATATGACCCAGGCATCCCACTCTTAGGAATTTTACCAAGTGAAGTATCACCAGCATACAAAAGAGTTATCTGTACCCTATGTTTATTGCAGCTTAATACACAATGGCTAAGACAGGAATCAACCCAGATCTCTACCAACTGCTGACAGGATAAAAAAATGTGGCATATATACACTATGGAATAATAGTCATAAAAAAGAATGAAATCCTGGCCGGCGCCGCGGCTCACTAGGCTAATCCTCCACCTTGCGGCGCCGGCACACCGGGTTCTAGTCCCGGTCGGGGAGCTGGATTCTGTCCCGGTTGCCCCTCTTCCAGGCCAGCTCTCTGCTGTGGCCAGGGAGAGCAGCGGAGGATGGCCCAAGTCCTTGGGCCCTGCACCCCATGGGAGACCAGGAGAAGCACCTGGCTCCTGCCATTGGATCGGCGTGGTGCGCCGGCTGCAGCGCGCTGGCCGTGGCGGCCATTGGAGGGTGAACCAAGGGCAAAGGAAGACCTTTCTCTCTGTCTCTCTCTCTCACTGTCCACTCTGCCTGTCAAAAAAAAAAAAAAACAAAAAACAAAAAACCAAAAAACAAATCCTGTCATTTGTAACAAAATGGATGCAATGGAAATGATTATGTTTAGTGAAATAAGTCAGTCCCCAAAAGACAAATATATGTGTTTCTTCATTTGTGGTAAGCAATATACAGAATATAAATAATGTATATGAATGAAACTGATATTTTGAAATTTGATTATTTATAGTCCTTGATTATACTCTTGAGGAACAGTGGTTTTTCTACTTACTACTTGTTGAATTCTTTATTAAGTGGAGGGTTAAGCTTATGATTTTAAAATAAACTGAAAGCACAACATTGTAAAAATTTGAAGAAAAAATAAGGAAGGAAGAAGGAGGGTAGAATGGGAAGTATCATTATGCTCTTAAATCTATATGAATGAAATACATTTGTTCACCTTAAATAAAAAAATTTAAGAAAAAATAAAAAAAGCAAAGGGCAGTCTTATGTATAAAATACTTCCTTCTGATAAGAAAAATAATGAACTCCTGGAAGGATATTCAATAAACTAAAAAAAGTGAATACAGGTGGTGACTGTGTGAGAATTAAGGATAAACTTTTCACTGTTAACATTTAGCCTTTCTGAAAGCAGTGGAAGATGGCCAAGTACTTAGGCCTCTGAACCTGGGAGACCTGGCTCCTGGCTTCAGTTCAGCTCAGCTCCGGCCACTGTGGCCATTAGGGGAGTGACGGAGGGAAGACCTTTCTCTCTTTCTCTCCATTTCTCTGTATGTCTGTAACTCTGCCACTCAGATAAATAAATACATCTTACAAAAAAAATTTACCCTTTGCTATTTTTCATTTTATTTAAAAAAATAAATTAAAAATGTAAACAAACAAACAAAAAAAACCACCACCAGTAAGCTTTCTCCCCTCCCTTAATACGTAAAAACCAATATGGAAAAGCTGAACTGAGTGAATACCAAACTTAGCTGCTATTATTTCTGGAGAGCAGTGGAAATCTGATGATTCTTTTTTTTGGATTTATTTTATTTATTTGAAAGATGGAGTTACAGAGAGAGGTAGAGACAAAGAGAGAGGTTTTCCATTCGCTGGTTCACTCCCTAGATGGCTGCAATGGCTGGAGCTGCGCTGATCCAAAGCCAGGAGCCAGGAGCTTCTTCTGGGTCTCCCAAGTGGGTGCAGGGGTCCAAGAACTTGGGCCATCTTCTACTGCTTTCCCAGACCATAGCAGAGAGCTGGATCAGAAGAGGAGCAGCCAGGACTAGAACCGGCACCCATATGGGATGCCAGCGCTTTAGGCCAGGGCATTAACCCACTGTGCCACAGTGCCGGCCCCTCATAACTCATTTTTAATCCTACTTATACATACACTAGGTTACTTTGAAAGGATCAACTATAATATATTTTGTTGCAAAATTTTTTTTTGAAATCTAGGCATAGTTTTTTTCCCATGATGTATATTTTCCAATGATATTTAAAAATATGGATATTATTTAAAAATATTATTTCAATTTTATTTATTTGAAAGGTAGTGATATAGAGTGAGAGGGAGAAAGAGAGAAAAAGAAAGCCAGTTGCCAGCTTCCATCCATTGGTTCACTCCCTAAATGGACACAATGGTCATGGCTGGGTGAGGCTGAAGCCAGAAACCAGGAGCTAGGACTTGTATCTGGGTTTCCCAATGTGGGTGGCAAGCACTCCAGTACCTGAGCTATCATCTGTTGCTCCTAGGTACATTAGCAGGAAGGTGGATCAGAAACAAAGGAGGGATTCAATCCCAGGCAACACAAAATAGAAATCCCAAGTAGCAGCTTAAATCACTGAACTACCATGTCTGCCTCTCCATGAACTTTTTGAAGCCTATTTACACAATTCACACACACACACACACAAAGTAATCATGTATTATTTTAGCTATGTAACAATGCTTTTTCTATATAACACAAAATTACCCTAAAGTACCGATTAATAAACATTAAGGAAAAAAAGCTTCATAAATAGCTACTCTATTTAAACAAAACTACTACCACTCTCCTATCAAAAACTTTTCTGTAAAAATTATGGATTTAAAAAAAAAATCTTGGATGGCGCCGCGGCTCACTAGGCTAATCCTCTGCCTGCGGCGTTGGCACCCTAGGTTCTAGCCCTGGTTGGGGCACTGGAGTCTGTCCCGGTTGTTCCTCTTCCAGTCCAGCTCTCTGCTGGCCCGGGAGTGCAGTGCAGGATGGCCCAGGTCCTTGGGCCCTGCACCTGCATGGGAGATCAGGAGGAAGCACCTGGCTCCTGGCTTTGGATCGGCACAGCGTCACTTGGGGGCCACATAGTGGCCACTTGGGGGGTGAACCAATGGAAAAAGGAAGACCTTTCTCTCTGTCTCTCTCTCTCTCTCTAACTCTGCCTGCCAAAAAAAAAAAAAAAAAAAAAAAAAAAGAATTAAAAAAAATCTTTATTTCTTGACACCCACTAACTCTTCTTTTTTTAGGTAGTTTCAAGATTCTGATCTATCACCACAATCTACTATTGCACAACCCCAAAATAACAAAGGATAATCCTATATGATTAGTCAATTTTCACAATAATAAATTCTTTAAGATGAATGATCTGAACTTGTATTTAAGATATTTAAATAGTTAGGAAATAAAATCAGCCTTATTATCAAAGATGCTTAAGTATGATTTATTGATAGAGTTCACAACTTGAACTAATTTCTATTTTTCTGAATGATACACTTTTGTACTTATTTTTAAAAAGGGAATTCATTAATGTGTACACTAGTCACTTAATTATATTTAAAATGCCCTAAGAATAAAACTGAATCAGTCTCCCATGAATAGGTATAAACATGCCATACAGTTGAGTTTCAGGTCTTCTAGCACTGTCTTTAATTCTTAAACATAGATGGAAGAAAAACAAACGATGCAGATTAATGCACAAACTTTTTATCACTAAGTTAAAATAAGCTCTATACAATGTCTGGTAGCCTTCCATTTTTAAAAATGTTTCCTTGCCTTTGCACCATTCCTCTCTTTTGAACAATAACTTCATATTAGTACACTGAAGAACATGTCTTAAACATCTGGCCAACAAATCTACAATGTAACTATGGGTTATAACTTGTTTCAAATACTGAAGTCTGTAAACTATAAATAAGTTGATGTTGTGTTCTCAATACTGAGTACAGTACAGCGTCTGCACTATGGGTGTGTTGAATAATGAATAAGTATAAATGAATTAATAAAACATACCAGTTATTTGTTGTGTCGATCCATTTAAACCTGTCATTCCATTAATTTCTCGAAATGTTAGGAACTGTCCTGTCTCAAGTTTGTGAGGATGATTTTCAAGGCAAGTGACAATGCCAGGATTAGCCTAAAAAGAAAAGTAGTCTATTAAAAAACAAGTTTATGTATTCTTTTTATTTTATTTTTAAATATTTATTTATTTTAAAGGCATAGAGAGAGAGGGAGAGGGAGAAACAAAGAGGGAGGGAGGGAGAGAGAGAAAGAATCTTCCATGTGCTGGTTCACTCCCCAATTGGCAACAATGGCCAGGGCTGGGCCAGGTCAAAGCCAGGAGCCAGGAGCTTCTTATGGGCCTCACACATGGGTGCAGGGACTCAAGAAGTGTTGGGCCAACCTCTACTGGTTTCCCAGGTGCATTAGCAGGGGGCTGGATTGGAAGTGGAGTAGCTGGGACTTGAACTGGTGCCCAAATGGGATGCTGCGGTTGCAGGAAGTGGTTAATCTGCTGTACCACAATGCCTATCCCAAGTTTAGTATTCTTTTAGTGAATATTCCAAATCTCAAACAAAAATGATGTTATCCTAAGATTCTCAAAACTAAAATTCCAAGCCATTCTTTCTCTCCTTTGGTTAAAGCAAGCCCTTAAAAAATTATACAAAACAAGTACCAATTTATTACTATGCATTTTTATTTGTTTTTATTTGAAAGGCAGAGAAAGAAACAGAAGGAAATCTTCCATCTACTGGTTCACTCCCCAAAGGCCCTCAACAGGCAGGCTGACTCAAGAACTCAGAGTGAGTCTGCTGCCAAGCTGTCAGGGACCAAACTACTTTTGAGCAATCATCTGTTGCTTCACAGGGTGTGCAGGAAGCTGGAATGGGAAGTAGGGCTGAGATTTCAGGCACTCCTATATGGAGAATCTTAAGAGCTACACCAAATGCTCATCTGATATTACTGTATTTTTTAAATGGACGTTGAAAATAAATTTCTGGGTCGGCACCGTGGCTCAATAGGCTAATACTCCACTTGTGGCGCCAGCACACCGGGTTCTAATCCCGGTCGGGGTGCCGGATTCTGTCCCGGTTGCCCCTCTTCCAGGCCAGCTCTCTGCTGTGGCCCAGGAGTGCAGCGGAGGATGGCCCAAGTGCTTGGGCCCTGTACCCCTTGGGAGACCAGGAGAAGCACCTGGCTTCTGCCTTCGGATCAGTGCGGTGTGCCGGCTGCAGCGCGCTGGCCGCGGCGGCCATTGGAGGGTGAACCAACAGCAAAGGAAGACCTTTCTTTCTGTCTCTCTCACTGTCCACTCTGCCTGTCCAAAAAAAAAAAAAAAAATTTCTGTTAGGTAGGATATGCTGAGGAGCTGAAATATTTCAAAGATCCGAAGACTCTTGAAACTTTTAATAAAAAAGCATTCAATGGGGGCAGCCACTGTGGTATAGCATGTTTAAGTCTCTGCCTGCAGTGCCAGCATCCCACATGGGCACCAGTTCGAGTTCCAGCTGTTTCACTTCCAATCCAGCTCCCTCTAATGTTCCTGGGAAAGCAGCAGAAGATGGTCCAAGTTCTTCGGCTCCTGCACCCATGTGGGAGATCAGGAAGAAGCTCCTGGATGCTGGCTTTGCACAGGCCCAGGTCTGGCTGTTGTAGCCATTTGAGGAGTGAACCAGTAGATGGGAGATCTCTTTCTCTCTCTCTCTCTCTCTCTCTCTCCCTCCCTCACTGTAACTCTGCCTTTCAAATAAATAAATATTTAAGAAAAAAGAAAGTATAAAGCCAAAAGTACAAACACAATGGTCAAAGTGCATCATTCCCTTTAAACTGAATTCTTCTGAGATTTAATATAAATTGATCATAAAGAACACAAATAAGTTATGTAGAAACAAAAGACAAAGCTTTAAAAGGAATCTTAATTTCTTCAATTCTTTAGAGAATAAAAAACTAAGCTTGCCTGTTAATGAGAGTATGGTGAGGAAATCAGGCTTTTTCATATGCAAGTTAATGATTTCTTAAATTTTCATTCCTTTTTAAGTCATGTTTAGAAACATAACAGATTAAACAAACATGTCTAAGATTTAAGTGAGTCTGTTCTGTAGTCACAGCAGTGGAACACTAAGTCACTTTCACGTCCATAGGAACATGACTTAAAAACAAAATTAAAATTAAAATTAATCAAAAGCAATAGTTGATCAAATATTAAATAAATTTAGAGGGAATTCAGAATATTTTATTTATTTTATTTTTTTATTATATTTATTTATTGTTTTGACAGGCAGAGTTAGACAGTAAGAGAGAGAAGTCAGAATAATTTTTTTAAAAGATTTATTTTATTTATTTGAAAGAGTTACAGAGAGAGGTAGAGCCAGAGAGAGAGAGAGATGTCGTCCATCTGCTGATTCACTCCCCAGATGGCCTCAACAGCTGGAGCTGCACCAATCCAAAGCCAGGAGCTTCCTCCGGGTCTCCCATGTGGGTTCAGGGGTCCGAAGACTTGGGCCATCTTTTCCTGCTTTCCCGGGCCACAGCAGAGAGGAGCAGCTGGGACAGGAACCGGCGCCCATATGGGATGCTGGCACTTCAGGCCAAGGCTTTAACCTGCTGCGCCACAGCGCCGGCCCCCAGAATACTTTAATAAATATTCCAATTTCAAGTTAGTTTTAACACATAAAATCATCAATAAATTAACAAAGTATTCCATCATGAATTATCTTAGAACACTATAAAATAAATGGAGAATATTGTATGTTAAATATTTTGCTAATACACCAACTTCCAAAAAATTAGCACAGAATTAACTTTAAAAAATATTTTAAAAAGCACAATATAATCATACTTGTGTTATGTTTGAAATGAAAATTTCTTTTGGTTCTTCTCCTGTTGTATCTGAAACTTCAAATTCATCACCAAAATCACAAAACAAGCGTGACCAAATTCCATGTATATCCGCACTGATGAACTGTGAAATGAGAAAAATAGTTTAAGTATATATTTAGATATAGAAAAAAATCCTCATTTAGCTTAGTCCCTTTTAAAACATTTTCATTTATAATTAAGTATATCCTCATAGAATGAATGAAGAGTAAGTTGTAGATTGGTTTAGGAATCAAGGATTTTGGTGTTTAGTGAACAGATATCTACTCTAACAAAATTAGAAGGGCCATCAGCATATCATCATTAAACATCTTATGATTTTTAAATAAAAATTCTGGCCTTGTCAAAAAATTCAAGCACACAGGAGCTGGTCTTGTGGGGTAGCAGGTTAAGCAGTCCCCTACAAAGCCAGTATCCCATATGGGCTCTGGTTTGAGCCCCTGTTAGTGTGCCTGGGAAAGCAGTGGAAGATGTCCAATTCTTTGGGTCCCTGGCTCACATGTGGGAGAGCTAGATGAAGTTCCTGGCTTCTGGCTTTAGCCTGGCCTGGCCCTATTTGTTGCAACCACTTGGGGAGTGAACTAGCAGATGGAAAGTGGATCTCTCTCTCTTTCCCTCTCTCTGTTAACACTGCCTTTCAAATAAATAAATATATAAAAAAATTTCAAGCACAACATATAAGAAACTGGTACCTTTATTTAATGGAATTCTTGTTATCTTAGAAAAGAATGGAGTAGTTATTTATCACGAGTAGTTGTGTGAGGGGCCAGTGTCATGGAGCAGCAAGCTGCTTGCAACATTGGCATCCTATGTTGAAATGCCAGTTTGAGTCTTAGCTGCTCAGCTTCTGATCCAGCTCCCCTCTAATGTGCTTAGAAAGGCAGCAGAGATAGTCTAAGTACCTGGGCCCCTGAAACCCATGTTGGTTATGAGGATGAAGTTCCTGGCTCCTGGGTGTTGCTTGGCCCAACCCTGGATGTTGCAGCTATTTGGGGAGTGAACCAGTGGATGGTTAAATACATAAGTAAATCTTTAGAGTTAGCGGAGAACAGAACAAAGAAATTAGAGTCTAAAAAAAAGGGCTGAGGAACTGACACTGCAAATTAAACAAATTAAAGTCATATAAGGTAAAAATTAGTCCTTTAACAAAATCACAACTTTTTTGTTAAAAACAATTTTTTAAAACACATTGTCTTCATTCAAGAACTTGTAAAGAAATCTGGTATTTTTTTCAAAAAATTTATTTACTGAAAGGCAGAGTTAGAGAGCACAAGCTTTCATCCACTGGTTCACTCCCCAAATGACTGCAACAGTTGAGGTGGGGCCAGGCTGAAGCCAGAAGCCTGGAATTCCATCTGGGTCTCCCATGTGAGTGCAGGAGCACAAGGTTTGGGCCATATTCTGCTGCTTTCCCAGGTGCATTAGCAGGGAATTGGATCAGAAGTGGAGCAGCCAAGAGACTCTAACCGGCGCTCATATGAGATGCTGGCATCGCAGGCAGTGGCTTAATCCCACAGTGCCATAGAACCTGTTCCTGCTTATTGCTATTGCTCATGAAGACAAATCTTTGTTCTGTAACATATCTGATCCTTTGGATAAGGTGATATATTTCTAACAAAACTACAGTGACATTTGGGTGTAAGAACATATCTCATTAAGATAATCTGTAATCTGCATTATATTAAGTAATAAAAGGGCTAATAGAAAATGATCTCTGGTTTGATCATACACTCATCGCCTTTACTGATCAAAATGGGTACTGCATTGTGGTACAGTGGGTTAGGTCACCACCGTTATCCTGCATGAAGCCTGGTTCCAGTTCCAGCTGCTCCACTTATGATCCAGCTCCCTGCTAATGCAGCTGGGAAGGCTGGGGAAGATGTCTCAAGTACATGGGCCCCTGCTAACCATGTGGGAGACTTGGATGTAGTTCCAGGCTCCTGGCTTTCACCTGGGCCAGGCCTAGCTATTGCAGCCATTTGGGCAATGAACCAGCAGATGGAAGATCTCTCACTCTCTGTAACTCTACCTTTCAAATAAAGAAAATAAATCTTTAAAAACAAAACACTGGGGCAGGTGCTGTGGCTAACCCTCCCATATAGGCGCCTGTTTGTGACCCATGTGTTTGGGCCCCCTGATGGGAGACCTGAAAGAAGCTCCTGGACCCTGTCTTTGGATCAGCCCAGCTACGGCTGTTGCAGCCATTTGGGGAGTGAACCAGCAAGATGGAAGACCTTTTCTATCTGTCTCTCCCTCTCTCTCTAACTCTATCTCTTAAGTAAACAAAAAAACTTTAAAATAATAAATAAAAAGTAGTCTATTTAAAAACAAAACACTGTTTTATGAGACATAAAACCAAGCAAAATTTCAAGTTTAAAAGCTATGAAATTTAGAAATTTTTCTTTCATTCCTAAACAACTCTAAAGTACAGATATAGGCATCAACAACATAAAGATTTTAATTTATAATCTAGTATATCATTAGGTAAAAATTCTGTAAACCTGTTGTAAGCTTACTTGGTATTCTTAGTCATCTGCTGAAATGTGAAACATAGCACAAATGTTCTATCTCTTGTTATGTATGTCATGTAAATACCACAATCCAAAAATTACCAGCACATCTGTGACTATATCACATAAAGATTTTGGTTTAATGCCTATTTCAAAGGAACAAATAGCTTTTTCCTTTTTCCAAAGGAATAAATGACCCCTAAAATTAAGGAGGCAGAGTTTGTACTATGCACTCAATTATAGGGAAGAGTTATAATTTAACCATTTAAACCTTGCACAGATTACAACCAAGCATGTAATTATCCTGGACAAAAATCTGGTGTCACTCTTGATGATTCTTTCCTTCAAAACTCACATGCCTTCCTCAACAAGTTCTGTTAACCTTTTTTTTTTTTAAACAAAGGATACCTCAAATAAGGACTTGCTGTCTCCATCCTGCCTCTCCTGTTTATGACACCAGCATCACTCAGGAGGATACTGCAGTAGCTCCTAACTAGTCTAGTTACTTCTATTCTACTCTTATCTTCCAACAGTTTGCTTCTCTTTGAATTTCTTTCATGACATCTTCATACTCTTAAAATTACTGAGGACTCACAGGGCTTTTATATGTATTGACACTTATTGTTAGAAAGTAAAACTGACAGCAATTTTTTTTTTTTTTTTTTTTGGCAGGCAGAGTGGACAGTGAGAGAGAGACAGAGAGAAAGGTCTTCCTTTGCCGTTGGTTCACCCTCCAATTGCCGCCGCAGCCGGTGAGCTGCGGCCGGCGCATCGCGCTGATCCGCAGGCAGGAGCCAGGTGCTTCTCCTGGTCTCCCATGTGGGTGCAGGGCCCAAGCACTTGGGCCATCCTCCACTGCACTCCCGGGCCATAGCAGAGAGCTGGCCTGGAAGAGGGGCAACCGGGACAGAATCCAGCACCCTGAACAGGACTAGAACCTGGTGTGCCGGCACCGCAAGGCAGAGTATTAGCCTAGTGAGTCGTGGCCCCGACCTGACAGCAATTTTAGAACATAATTAAAAACATATTCCACTAGTTCTCACAACAATGACAGACATCACCACCTATTACATAGACTCTGGAAAACTCCACTGTGCTGCCTAAGAGAATCACAGTGAAAAAGGCAAAGAACATTTTAGTACTATTATGAAAATAGTTTGATTATTCAGTCCCCTTACAAGGTCTCAGGGACTCTCAGTGTCTTCAGACCACACTTAGAAAACTGTTGCTATAGTCTACTATCCCCACAGCAAATCAGTTTGATCATTTAAACATATATTAAATCAAAACTCATGGGCTTTAAACTCAAGTATCTATCGGATACAGCCCTCTAAGTACCTAATTCTCCAAACTTAATTTTCTAGGCATCTTTTGTTCTTACTATCCTCTCCTTTTTACCTAACTCTATTTTGTTCCTGCTTGCCTCTTCACATTCCTCAAACATATTAAGCTAATTTTTATATTTGCTTATCTTTATACTTGTGTATACTTGTGGATACTCTTGCCTTGAATAATCTTCCTCAGATCATTATTTAGCTCATTCTTTCTCATTATTCAGGGTTCTGTTCAAATATCATCTTTTTTTTTTTTTTGGACAGGCAGAGTTGGACAGAGAGAGAGAGAGAGAGAGACAAAGAGAGAAAGGTCTTCCTTCCGTTGGTCCACCCAGCCAAATGGCCGCTATGGCTGGCGCACTGTGCCGATCCGAAGCCAGGAGCCAGGTGCTTCCTCCTGGTCTCCCATGCGGGTGCAGGGCCCAAGCACTTGGGCCATCCTCCACTGCCTTCCTGGGCCACAGCAGAGAGCTGGACTGGAAGAGGAGCAACCGGACAGAACCAACACCCCAACTAGGACTAGAACCCGGAGTGCCAGCACCGCAGGCAGAGGATTAGCCTAGTGAGCCGCAGCGCCGGCCACAAATATCATCTTCTCAGAAGAGACTTTCCTGACCTAAGAGAACCTACACTGGCTCTTCTCCCAACATCATGCAGATACTGTTGTCTATACTGAGATTTTTTTCTTCATAAAACTTGAAACTACCTGAAAATCTATCATGTAATTAGCTGCTTGTTTAATGTATATCTTCTCTGTAGGAAAGTGATTTTCATTAGCAAAAATTTGCACTTACTAATATAGTACCTAGAGACTATCTGGCACACAGTAGTGTTCAATGAATCTTCATTAAATGAAACCTCCTGAAAACCACTATTATATGTTTAAAGTTAGATGACGAATTCAATGTTTATCATTCTTCCATTCTAATTTCTTTCTTAGTTTTGGCAATCTGTCTATAAACTAAACTTAAATACTAGTTTTAAACTAGCAATTAAATATGATATCAAAAAAGAGAAAAACCCTACTGAAGTTATCCTCATGTTCATCATGTAAAAAATTTTATTTTAGGCTGGCGCCGGGGCTCACTAGGCTAATCCTCCACCTGCGGTGCTGGCACACCAGGTTCTAGTCCCGGTCTGGGCGCCGGATTCTGTCCCGGTTGCTCCTCTTCCAGTCTAGCTCTCTGCTGAGGCCCAGGAGTGCAGCGGAGGATGGCCCAAGTGCTTGGGCCCTGCACCCA